GCAACCTTCATTAGCATCTCTGCTTTTCTTTATCTTCATTTATTTTTCACGCTCTTTATTCTGCACAAGAAAAATTCCGCGTTTAATTAAGGCGCGCAGTAAAATCGCGTAAAGGGAGCTCGAAAATAACGCCGAAAATATTACACGGCGAGCAATTTCGAGCAGCCGTGCGAAAACTGCGTCTCGTTCGTTCTTTTTCGCCATGTCTGACACCTGCTGATATGAAATTAAACGTCACAACGACGGAGAAAGTGAAAATATAATGCGCCGCGTGTGTGTTTTTGAGAGCAAAGATTGCAGCGTTTTGCAGAAAGAAAGAATAAGTTGGTTGTTGTTCTTATATTGGAATAAGATGCAGGAGACAAAGTGTGCTGCGTGCGAGTGTCAGGCGCGATTATTGAGCAAGATCATGGCTCATGGAACGCGCGGCGCGGGAGAAAAAAAGATACACACACACCTGGTGCCATCCGCGCGGCATAATGGGAATGATTATCCTCCGTAATGCTCTCGCGCAGTTACACCACGGACGTCATTAGCTCGGAACTTTCATTTCTAACCCTCTGCTTGCCTCTGCGCGCATGCAAATTGCCTGATTTTCGTGACTGCACAAACACCACGATGCGATATAGAAGCGGCAGAGAGGATCTTCTAGGAGAAAATTTAGGGGTGCTGTTTCCTCCCTTCCGCTCATTTAATGAAACTTTTTGCCTCGAAACGATTGAACCAATTTGGGATGCAAATTTTTGTTATTTGAACTTGCAAATTATTATAAAAAAGTTGACGTTTATTTGTCATTTGTATCACATAAAATTGGAAATTGTAAGAAAAAGAAATCATTCAAAAGAAATTCTAACGTGGATCCAGAAATTGAGCGTGAAAACCACTGCTCGGAAAACGAATTAAAATGTCCAAATTTCAACTTTTAATTTGACATTTTAATTCTTTTCAAAACAGATTTGGATTTTTGTTTCAAAAAAATTAATTTTTCTATTAAAAACTAAAAAATCAAGACAAACGGCAACACCGTGAACATGACTATGATCATAAATTTCGCTTACTGAAAGGTCATTCCAACGTGTACCTCGACCTACACTTATGTACCTCTCAACTGAGAAGCTAATAAGGAAAAAATTGCTCAGATTTTAATTATTCATTTGCACCATGTAATAATAAGCTTAATTTAAAATGTTTTTATTTCTTTTAATTATAAATACTTTGGTTGGATAAATCATAGGCTTGTTGGAATCATGTTAAAATTGTTGAAAAAGACTCGGACATTTAAAATTGGACATTTTTTTTTTTTTCCGAGAATTGTTTTCTCGCTTAGTTTCTGAATCCATGTTTAAAAAATTAAAACAGAAACTGGTTAACATTTCAAAAAGCTATACAAAAAACCCACAACTCGACACAAAAATAACACAACAACAATTATCAACTTCTTGAAAGTGGCAATAAAATTAAATAATTATGCGCTTTTTACTGATCAACTTGATGTGTCATTCAAATGGTTTATAAAGAAATAATCGAAACAATAAATAAGATTGATGATCTAGAATTACCAGAACAATTAAGTTATAAACATTTGCTCAATTTGTGTAGTTTATTGAGACAATCAGAGACAATGGAGAATTTATTCAACAAAGTTTTAGCAAAATTGTGGTGGTGCCGTTTTTTCCAGCATTTCCTATTTTTCAAATAAACTAGTTTCAAAAATGGAATTATAATAATGCATTGTAACTATTGGACAAATAATAAAAATAGAAAATTTTGATGTTTTCAAATTTTTTTACTTTAAAATGAGTAAAATTTCTAAACATAAATAAATTAATTGAAAGTAACAATCAATAATATTATCATCTCACTAATTTTTCATGAGAATCTATTTCACTTTTATGCGCAGACCTTGATGTAATGCAGACTCATCTGCTATTTATTCGGGGTAATAAATCTCCTGGGCAAATTACGCCTATTTTTGGTGCGGCAGAAACACCTCGTGCATGCTTTCAGTCAATTTGGAGCCTAATGGCGCCTCGGGCTGGTGATTTTTTTTGCCCCATACACTTATTTTTATACATCTCTCGGCAAGTGAGCAGGCTAAGAACGTATTCGGCGTGAAATTGCACGTTCTCTTTCGAATAAATGAGCGTCGGCCTTGCTGACTTTCTTGGGCAGTGGGCCGAATGAGTAAAAAGTGTATACCATTGCATAACCGCGTTACTCGTGACCCCGCGGGCGCCGCGCTTATCCGAACGACTCTCGGTGTTTTGAAAACACGTGTGCGGAAAATTTAATTGCAATCGAATCAATTAGCAGGCAGGGAGGAGAAAAGTTTCTCAAACAATGAAGAGCTTTCTCCGCGCGTCGTCGGACCGGACGAAGCTCGGTCTCGATAATTGTGTGTTCTGTGTTCGAAATACGCGGAAACTGCCGTAAGTGCACAGCGGTGTGTAGACATAACACCATCAGATATATTCGGTGACGCCATCGGCACTTTTTTTTTCAATTGTGCTAATTTTCGTGTACAAAAGCAGGCAGAGTGATGGATGTGCGAAAATGCATATCAGACCAAACGCGTCACGAGTTCAATATTATGTGATGTAAAACGCAAACAGGAACGCAATGCGCCAAATGGAAACGATTCCGCAGCAGGAAAATTCGGCTGTTTGAAGTGGCTTTCTCGCGCAAAACAAACACCGACGCACTGCAGATTGAATCCGCTTTGAAGTTTTTGTATCGCCGGCTTTTTTAACGCTCTCTGTTGTGGGTGGAAACCAGAAATGAAACATGCGAGATTTTGCGGTTAATTAAATTTGAAGCCCAGACTGGGATGAAAACATCATCCTTTATCATGTAAATTGTAATTCCTAGTAACAATTTAAAAAAAATTTAATTATTTTTATTGAACAAATTTATAATTATATTAATATACCAAATTGAACTTAAAATATCTCTAGAAATTATTACAAAAATAAACAAAGATGGCATTCCATGAAATAAAATGAATGAAAGTGCTTTAAATTTTTTTCTACAGAAATAAAATTGCCACTTCAATATGTAAAATTTAATATTTCTGCTACCTTTAAAGCCCTTTTTTACTTAAAATTCGCTTTTTTTTTACTTTTAAGAACGGTAATTATTTGTTCCTTTAGCAAAATACAGTAAATCAGTTTTTTCAAAAAGAAATATGATCGTGAACCAAAGATAAGCGTGTTTTTTTTTTATTTATTTAATTCGCAAGTCTAGCGCGACAGGTTAGTTTTCTCTTTAGTCTTTATCTTTCGCGACCCCGCTCAAAACGATTCCGTGTCTGATTTACGTCTTTGTGGGTTTGGCCCGACGCTATGCGTATATAAAATACTCCCAGTGACAATCTGTATAAAATTTAAACCCGGATTAGGTAGCTCGTTTGACATCGCATAAGCCTATTCAAATCTAGCGAATTTTCCTATAAATCGCGGTGAATTTTTTGAAAGGAGACAATGCGAGGCCACGTGCTGGGAACGTGATTCCAAATGCAAGCTTGAATGGATTACTTCGAAAACACTCGTTTCTTATGCAACCAGCTGCGCGCTGCCCAGCGTTGAGAAACGGGTCGCCGGTGCGCGGCGCTCGCAGAAGAGAGATTTCGCATGAATTATGTGCACGGCGGCAACTCTCGATTTCGGATAATTTACGGTCTGTCCCAATGAACTCGTTTCCGCGCCAGCAAGGCTTCTCAATGGATTTTCGAGCGAATGAAGTTTTATTGCTGAGAGCCGAAAAATATATCGATTTCAGAGTTTAATAATAATTTATTCACGAATCAGCACGATTACGCATGCAGTTCGGCTGACTTATCTCGCTGACACGGCGGAATATCTCATTTGGCCGTGTTTACATATTAATTTTGACTTCGTGTTTGCGTACAGAGCACTTCAGTAAATCAAATTTTCATACAGTTGTGAAACATCGGGCCCCAGACAAAAATATTATTTGGTATGGAAACATTTAAACGGAATGAAAAATTGTTTTTTAAATCCAAATTCACAGTTTGCTGGTCTACCTTTAAGATATTTTATGATATGATGCTTATGCTTGTGAGAAAGACAGACATAATTTTGATTTTTTTTTCTGTTCACTTTTCCTAATTTAATGTGATGTTTGTCTCAACGTGTTTTCTAAGAAGTCACACAACATTGGAATTTTTTTGTTTATTATTTAAATTTTCTGATTAAAGTTTATTTTTGATCAACATTATTTGTGCTTTAAAAAATTTTTAAGTTCTGAAAAAACCTGTCAACTGAAAATCAAAATAATGGTAATGATTTAAAATCTTAAATCGAATAAAAATATAATAATTAATTTATTATAACTAAAAGTCTACATTTAAAAAAAACAATAATTAAAATTTATTTTGTAAAAGTTATTAATCAAAGTTTTAATCGTTTAAATTAACTAATAAATCTAATAAATAAATAATAAATATTTCAGATTCAATCTGAAATTTTGTTATTGAAAAGATGAGGTTAATCGCAACAATGTGATTCAATAGAAAGATATTTTTATCAACCTCTGTTGTATTAATTGCTGTTTAAATTCATTTTAACTTTGTAAAACATCGAGGAACCACTTGTTAGTAAAAAAGATTTAAATATTAAAACTATTGAACTTTTTAACTACAATAAATTTATTAGAAATCTCATTAGTATAAACAAGGTTGAAAAACAACTTGATGCAAATTATCAACAAAGGTATGTAATGTAAAAAATAAATATTCAGTTGCACATGCAAGTGCACGCGTGCGTCCCATTTGCCCGTATCGTGGGCCGCGCTGACCGGGTTTTTTTCCTTTCGCGCTTCCTTCCCGAGTCCTTTCTTTCTTTTCGGAGCGTCCGACTCGTCGTGTCCGACTGATGAAATCGTCGAAAAGAGCGCGAGAAGTGTGCCGGGCCGGAGCGCGCCGCCGCGGCAGCTTATCCCTTCTTTTGCCGAGCGTCGCCGCGCGCTGGGTTTCTTTCTTTCACCGCCTCAGTCAGTTTCGTGCGAGAGATCTGTGCGCGACGAGCCAAGTATAAGTTCTGCTCCATGCGGACACCGCCGAGCTGACAGTGCTGGTGCATTTTGCGAACGAACCACCCCGTGACACTTTTTCCCTTCGCCAATTCTGCACGATGCTGGCGGATCAGCCAGCTGCTGCTGCGGCGGCCACGGGGCTCAAAACTGCGCAAGGTAAACTTAAAAATTTAATAAAAAATATTTTGTTTTTGCAAATAAGTACAAATTTTTATAAAAAAATAGTTAAATGAAATATTTTGAATTCAAATTTGCAAAGGTGTGCAAAAATATCACTTTAATTTTATTAAATTAATTTTTGCTAAGTCAAACTGCTACAAATGGACAATCTTGCCATTTTTATATCCTTTTAAAGCAAATAAAACTTGGCTTAAACAAATAAGGAGCATTTAAACAAAAAACATCTTCTAATTTAAGTGTACTGATTTATATAACTTTTAGCTCCACAAGGAAAAATTATCATATATTATGATTATATCCAAACAAGATTACACTTTGAACAGTTAAAACTAATAGAGCCATTGAAGTCTGTGGATGAGTCTCTAGGAAAAGCATTTGGTTATTTGATTATATGATAAATACTGTTTTTAAAAATAATAAGATTTTCGAAGGGAAAATTTGAATAATTGGATTTTTATCTTTAAAAGTTTTCCTTTTTTGGTAAAATTTTCTTCTATAATATTTGAAACTTGCCTATTTCCTACACCACGTTGAAAAGTTTGCCAATGCAAAAGCTGTCACGTACTATCGCGAATTTTACTTTGCCAAAAGCGGTCCGCCTTGAGAGCGGCCCGCACTATAAATCACGTCTCTTCATCTGCACAAAGTGACAAAGTGTACCCCAAAGTAGAATAATCGCGCTTTGCATGATAAAATGTACATAGCCGTGTTCGCCGGCGATCGATTTCGAATTTTCCTCTCGGCCTGCGATTCATAATAGTACTGCACGCATATTAGCTCCAGTTCCGCTACTGCAGATAACATCGTCATCATCATCACAAGTTTACACTTTTACTTCTTACATGTGAAATCGGAGAAATTCCATTTATGGAAAATCCTTCTCCTTGCCCGGAACGTTTGATTTTCTTTTCTCTAAAGTTTTTTTCCATGGTTGTTAAAAAGCTAAAAGTTTGGGTATCGAGATGGAACCCATTCTGACCCAGTTTCGACCTTGACTTTGCACACAGACTCGCAGGTAGAAAGAAAAGAGCTATTTAAATAGTGCTTTCCGTGTACCTTTGAATTTATTTATGGTCGGAAGGGGAGTTTTAACAGCATCGACAGGCAACAGCTGTGGCGTAATAATTTTATTAGTTTCTTGGAAAGTTGAGAGACGCGGCGGATGAGGGATGGAGGGATTCTCACATTCCTAACTTACAAAAATAAATTCTTTCATGCTTTAATTAAACTTATCTTATTTTCAAATAAAATTTTTGTATGTCATTATGAAGGATAAGATCAAATAAATAATTGTCACCTTCCTGTTTTTAAACCTCGAAAATTACTCAGTCCTCGCTTCGACTCTTTTATAAATAATAAGTATTGTTATTTTTTCGTCTTCAGTCTTCCTAAAAATTACGATTCAAGCACCGTCTCGAAATTCACGCTCACTCTCGCAAGGCCACGACGAAGTAAATAATCGTAATGTCATCTCCAAATTGAAATGCAACAGCGGTTTCGAATTGATTGTCTGCCCGTCTCGGCCGCTTCAATTTTTCCTCGTCCAGTGAGCCGCTGACCCTGACAATCGTCTGCTTAATTAACTTCTGCTCTATTGGTCGTCTAAAGTGACTCAAGAGACTCTGCATCATTGGCGTAGGTCTGGAATTTTAATCGAAACCGCGGAAACTTTTCATCTTCCTTGTCATTCAAAAATTTCTTATCAAAACCTATAATGATGCAACTTTCATTTGGCGTTTTCCTTGCAAACTTATCAGACATCTGCGTTTTCAATATCGGCCGGATTGTGTTCTCTTGACAGCACTATTCTGACGATTGGAAAATTTCTTCTCTTTCTCCCTCGTCGTGTCTTTCTTTTGTCCTCCATTGTCTCGGCGGCGCAATCGAGTCGACGACGGCACCACTTGTACTTTGCAGAGACAGCTGCTGCCGCTGGCACTTTTCCAAAGAGTTTGCCAAAAGACGTACGCGAATATTGGCACCTGAGTGATGTGTCCCTGGTCGCGTGACTTTTGACCTTCGGTGCTGCGTGAACTATTATTAAAGCTTTAGTTATGCAACAAGAATTTAATGATCTCACTGACCCCAACGTGAATTTCGTGGTATTTTTAGCACTGCTCGAAAGTTCAAGAGGTTCATCATTCAATCAAAATTCAAAACGCCGTAATTGTTAAAAAAAATTGTTATAATTCAAAGAAATGTTTGTGTTAATATTTATCAAAAAGGAAAATTTTGTATTTTTTAAAGCATTGCTCACTGACCTGAAATTTATTTTATCTTTACTGTTAAAGGCAGAATATTTTTACTCTTCAGTTTCCTTATTTATTTAAACAAGTCCAACGGAGCATTTTGTCCTTCTCAGTCCGAGTGTTGTTCTCGCCCTCAACGCACAGACACATGCAAACCGACTCGTAAATCAGACGCTGCTTTTATCCGCGTTCTCTGCTCTCTTTATCTTTATATTCCTATTATATTTTTATTCCGTTCTTGCACCCGTCTTGCGTCACTTAGATTTATTTCGGTCGACGCTGCTGCATCAAGTCTCGTTTTATTCTCTTTCATTATTAAAGCATCCGCCGCGCGAATCGAATTGAAACTCAAAACGGAGCACTTTGGTTTTCGCAGCGAACGTTTCCTCGTCGCGCGAAATTGCGTCACGCCCCGCGAGTGTCGCGTTTCTTTCCAAGCACGTTGCGCGCTCATTAGCTCATTACCCTGCTTCAGTATGGTCATCGTCGGCCGGGGAAAAACCTGCACAGACCTGCGAGGAGGGAACGTTTTTGAAAGGTGCATGACTTCATTGCACGTCGACAATGACGAATATTTATTTATTCATTCATTGTTCTCGATTGCGCACCGCGGGACTTTCTTTGTCAAAAGAAAATAAAAATTGTCCAATAGAATCACGAGGTGCTAATTTATTGCCACTCAGTATGAGCGCGGCGGTGAAATTATAAACAGATGCGGCCAAAGAGAAAAGTAATAATAAACATTACTTGCAGCTTTTCCTTGTGTTTATGTCTGTGCGAGATGCGTTTTCTCAAAGCATATTCATCGGAAATATGACAAATGAGAGAAGCGACCTTGCCATTTGAACTCCATCGGTGCATCTTTTAGCACATGTTGCGTTACTATTAGATTTTTGCTGCGTAATGCATTCGGTTGTAAACAATTTGATATTAACAAACATTAATTCTAAGTTTTGAATGAAGAAAAACAATTTTTTTCTTTTAAAAAGATAAAAATTCAAGTTTAATTAACTCCTGCAATAACTAAATTTGATTTTATTTGGCTAAATATGGGTCAAATTGATATATTTTACATTATTTCAAATGGAGAATAGAAATTAAATAAATAAATTTTAAAACTAAATTAATTTTTTTATTCATTAAACTCTATCTACAGTTAAATCGTAAATCTTCAAATAATTACGTTATATTTAGCACATAAACAAATTTTGCAGACAAGCAGCTGATTTGCCAAAATATTATCAATAACATACACTGGTGTCAAAAGCCTTGAACTTGACGAAATCCAGACGCCTCCGGTATTACAAACGCCATCTGTAAAATTAGCCTATCACAACGTCTTGGCTCTCTGAACAAAATGCTGCTTTTTCATTTACGACCTGCTATAAACCTGATGGTGTACAAAATGGGGAATCCCAATTAAGTGTTTTGTAAAGGATGTGGATAAGAGAATCTGGTTTTTTGTTTCAGGTGGAGGTAACTCAGGGTCATCGTCGTCCTCCGGCTGGTGCGGCATGGTGTCCAGGGTGTTCAAGGTGCACGGCAGCTTCTGCGCGTCGCACCCTTGGGAGGTGATCGTCGCCACCCTGACCCTGACCGTGTGCGTGCTCAGCGTGGAGACCAGGGCTGCCCTGCAGGACGCCACCGCCAACCCAGCGCCCACCTGCAACGCCTGGCGGAGGAACTGCCCATCCGGACTCGAGGTAAGCAAAGTTTAAAGCCTCGTATTTGAAATGTTAAGAAATTACAAGGGATGAATCGTTCAGAGATATCTAGAATTTATTATTGTAATTTTCAATAATTTTGATTAAATGTTAATATTTTTTTAATTAAAAAAGAATTTTATTTAAACTTAAAAAATATGATTTTTTTTTATTTTTTAAAGTGTAAACTTGTTAATTTTAATTTCACTAAATAAATTGGTATTTTTTAATAATTTTTTTAAATTAAGTAATTTCGAATTTATGTAATTATATTTAAAACTTTTATTATTTATTTAAATTGAATACCAACAATATCTATGGCAGAAAATTGGAGGTTCAAATATTATTTAATGTTTTTCTTTTGGGTCAAATAATTTCATTGCCTTTTTCAAGGCTTTAGTAATTTTTGATAGCCCTGTTTTGCAGAATTATGATACTTTTGTAAAATGTGCATAGATAAACCTAAAATTGCAAACTCTATTATCTCATTCATTGCAGAACGCCGAACGGCCAAATTTTGCATTTTTTTTATGTTAACAAATAATTTTTAAATATTTTGGAAGAAACCCTGATGATGAAAAAGCAATGATTTACGATTTACTGCGTTTCCAAAGCAATTTCCAAACTTATTTTTACGCGAACCCTTCTCTGCATCTCACGACAAATCTGACTCTGACAGCGGATTAATCCACATTCAGATCGATTTTCCTAAACTTCGGTTCCTTCAACGTTGGGTGTCAATGACAGACCGACTTATTTCGCGGCAATTGCGGCCGGCAGCAAAGGGCCTATTAAGAGCAAATCGAGAATTCTTGAGGCGGCGCCGAGTCAGAGGTCATGAGAGCTACTTGTATGGCTCCGGTGCGGCGAAAAGGAGCCGATTTCGCGCGGGTAATGAGCTTAGTGCCCGCAACGCACACAGAGCGTTCCGTGATTGCAGAAGGCTGGCGAATTACCAGAGAAATAACAACAACGTCGGGTCATCTTCGTGCAGTGTGGAAAAATGGATGAAATACTCCGTGAAGCTTGAAAACCTTAAAAGTGGAGAAAATCGAGGCCGCAACGAAAGCCATTTAGCAAATTATAACCGCACATTGTTGGAATTTGGCAGATTTTCTGCTGCACTTTCTCCTGCTCAAAAATAGATTGAACGTTTTAAAAACAAAAAATAAACGGCGTTTTAATCAACACATTTGTTGCATCCTCTGTGGAGGAATAGAACCTGTGCGCGCGGTGGAAAGTTACGGAGCGGAATGTGATACATATCCGGATATGAGAGATGTTGAATGTTTTTAATTAGAAAGAACCGAGCAGTTTTACCGAGATTTTTAGAATGTCCCACTTTAAAGTGTGGAGCTCTGGTTGGCTGCGGCGGCTGTTGGCCTCTTCTTCTTCTTCTTCTACATACAAAAGAGTGAAAAGTGATAAGCATTGCCGGCGGCGTCGCAGCAAAATCCGCGCTCGCCGCGCCGATTGATATTCCGCACCTTCACCCAGTGATAGTGACCCACATTGATTGCATTTCGGACGAAAATGCATGCATGTGTGTATTTCGGCTTGGTCATTGCCAAAGTGGAAATCGCGCGTGCGGAGAAAGTAAATCGCCGCTCGGCCGAGTGTGGAAAAATGCACGTTTTTCTCGCTGCGATGCTGCCGCGCGTAATTGAATTATGCTTGATAATTACGGACGATTCCGCTCGTTAAAGTGCGCTCACGGCGATCGCAATTGTTTAGATATTAGATTGCTAATTCACTTTCTTCGACGAGAGCGACATGGAAAGTTGTGTGATGATGATGACACGCAGCAATTCTTTTTCTATTGGCGAAATTTGTCTTGCGCGAATCATTAACATAAATTGCTCAGGCTAATGTTGAAAATAAACACTTTGATTGTGCGCAATTTGAAAGAGTTAGTGGCGAAAGAAATATCAATAGTCTGCATGGTTAATTAATTTAAAAGTAAATAATCATCCCAAATCCAATTTTGTAATAAAAAAACAAATTTATTTGTTCTGTGACTTGATTTTAGTCTTAATTTCTAAAAAAGAATCTGTTGTTTTATAATAGAATTGTTGCCGCGCAATACTACAAATTTTTAATTTATTTTTATGCATTATTTATTACCAAAATCTTCATTTTTAAATTTAATATATAAAATTAAAAATAATAATTTTTTTATTAAAACATGATCAAGGGTTGATTCATGGTGATTTGAATTTAAAGTCGGCTCTTTTCTTGGTGGGTTTTGTGAGTTCTTCGTTGTTTAAGATAAAACAATATCCTGCTCTACATGTTTCGGCTGCGGGCTGCAGCCATAATTCATGAGCTGTGAAATAATTTTTACAAGAATTAGTACAAAATCAATTTCTTTAAAATATTTTCGTTTCAAAATAACAATTTTTTTTGTGGAAAATTATTTCAAGTGACAATTGTACACAAAACAGTTTTCAACGCAAAATTTGACGATTCAAGTTTTTTAACCAAATAAATTTTTGTTTAATAAGTTTGGTCAGAATATTATTTATTGTTCGGTTTTTCAGAGCAAAAATAAAAAATGTTAAATTATATGTGGAATTTTGAAGCAGAAGAAAAAGCGATTTAACACCATCGTAAGCTGATTAGCTTATTCCTAGGTTGTAAACGGATTTTAATATCAGTAGAGCAGCTCTTTTATGGAAAAAATAAGTTTTTAAACTGTATATTAAAAATTACAAGGTTAACTAATGTGTTGCCTAGGATTACTTCCTAATTTTGCATTGATCAGAAAACCAGTTTTCAAAATAAAAACTATTTTTAGCACTTCTCCTCTCACTTAAACCATCAAAGAGTTCAGGAAGTCGTTTCGGCCACTGCTTTCAACAAGGCGCGTCACTTTTCAAAATAGTTCCTCGTGTTCACGGCCCAGCACTCAATTAGCATAAAATGACCGAGCACTATTGTCAAGCACCCTAAAGAAATCGCCGCCCGGTGATGCAACATGTCCTCGGTGCCGCAGCAAAGAATCTGTAAAATAAGAAATCCGCAGTTTATTATTTTATTCGCCGGCCTCTGCTTTTACTTTCAAACCGCAAATCGCCGACAATAACAATTATCGTGCGCTCTTTATGCCGAGTTGCGTAACGAGAATCTGCGCGCACGATCTCTTGTATTGGCTCTCACGTGCCCAAATCCATTCATTCTCGGCCAATATTTGTAAAAACATGATGAAATAACACCTAAACAGTTGGCGGCTGGCTGGCCCACTTTTGCGGGGAAAGTGTCAACGAGCCGGTCTGCGCGGCGTATTTATTTTCCTCGCTGAAATAATCTGCACTCGAAAAAAAAATTGTGATCCCTTTGCTGCATCTGCGACGGTCCTCCCTAGAGAGCGACTTTTTGTTCGCTAGAATTTCTGCGGATTTTCGCCGACTATAGTGGTGGCGTCACTCCCTGTGATAAATAATGCACTTGGTTTGTTTGTGTTTCAACCGTTGAGAGAGAGAAAGAAAGTTCTCTGCATAATTAAAGCAGATGTGCTGGGCGTCACCCTCCGCAAGCTTTGAATCACTAAAATTTATCAAATGCAGATGATGTAGATATATTTTTTCGAGTCATAATTTACATAATTTACTATTTTTCAAAAATAAATTTTAACGTGGATTCAAAAACAGCAAGGAAACGAATTAAAATGTCCAAATTTCTACTTATAATTAATTTTCAATTCTTTTCAAAACAGATTTAGGTGTTTTGCCGTTTGTTTTTTTATTTTTAAATGGAAAAATTAAATTTTTTGATTTTTTTGGAAACGTTAATCCTAATATGTTATGTAAAGAACTGGTTTTTCCAATTAAACGCTTAAATTTGGATATTTTAATTCGTTTTTCTAAATCCACGTTAAAATTTCTTTTGAAAAATTATTAAAACGTAAACTGGAATGCACTTTAACAACGCAAACACGACAGAAATCTACAGTAAAAATTACAAAAAAAAAAACACTTGTTTCTTACAAATTAACATAATTTCACTACATAAAACTAACAAAAGTTAAATTTCTAGTGTTATTAACAAAACGCGATCTCATTTGAATTACGCAAACTTATCAGCTACGAAAAATCTATACTCTCTTGAGTCTTGAGTCACCGCCGCAAATACTGACTAACAAAAGTTTTGGCCTGTGGCTCGAGTTTAAAAGTTTCCATTCGTAAGAGCACGACTGCGAATTGTGCTGCTTTTAATGAGACTCGGGCTTAATTATTTTAGCCTTATCTTCAGCTAAAATGAAATCTTTTTCATTTTAAGGAGTCATTACTGAAGTTACTCCAACTCATCAAATTGAGTTTTATATGTACTTCCTTCCTAATTAAATTTATGCTAAAAAATTATGTAAAAAGAAATAATTGAATTTTTTATTCTGACCCCCCATTTTAAAACTGCAACTTATGCTTACAATTTAAATTTGTAGGAGTTGATTTTGTTTGTAAAATTAATAATAAACTTGGAAGTGAAGAGATCGGAGTTTTCCTCTTTGTAAAAAATAAAATCATGATCAAGGAAAATATAAAAAAAAAAAAATCTGAAAAATTGAAGAAGAAGAAAACTACATTTTAAAATAATAAATAACAAATAATTAACTTATTTCAAATTTTTAAACAATCCTATTGATTCTGCTGACCTGCTTAATTTTCACTTCAAAATATTCATCCTCTGTTCTGTTGTTAAATTCAACCCTCTCACTTTGAAGTTTCACTTTCATGGGATATCTCTGAACATTCACGCCACGGTTCCGAGTCCAGACCTCTAAAACCACCATGCGGCGGTTAATTTGCACGATCCCCGCAGACTAATTAATGCGAGGCGAGAACAAGACTCTCGTCGAGTTGTGTCGCGGGTGGCCAAGTGAAACTTTTGATGCTAATCCCAGTTTCTGTGTTGTTGCAGCCCGAGTACAATGCGGCCGACGTGATTGTCATGACCCTCATCAGATGCGTGGCCTTACTCTACAGCTACCACCAGTTTCGCACTCTCAGCAAAATGGGCTCCAAATACATCCTGGGTGAGTGTTTCGCCCGAGGGAGATGCTCTTTTTATATTCAACTGGCCGATAAATTTGCATGGAGCGCTCGTCCGTCCGCCACAATTGCGCCGCAAATGGACTTTTGTGCGGGCCAATTTGGCTTGATGAGTAGCAAAATAAGCCACCGGCGTTTGCGAGAAAAAAAATGCAACTCTGTGAAACGGGAAATTGAGTTTTGGCGAGCAAATCATTTTTTCCAGCACAGTCGGATATTAATCCACTTTAGAAGATTCAATTTGTCGATTGTGCGAATATTTGCACTTTTTCAATTTACCCGAAGCGATTTAACTCATAATGCGTGTGATTTTGTTTCTTTTAAAGTTGTAATGTTCGCGTGGATTTTTACTATCCACATTTTACGTCATGACTAAATAGAAATTATCCAAGAAGATGTAACGCGCAATATAATCCTCTTTCACAAGTTGCAGAATAAATTTCTTTTCCACGCGGCGGCGACACTCCCCTGTTTGCGAAGACGGATTTTCACACTTTCTTTTGTTAGCCATTCATTAAGTCGCTTGCAAAATACCTTGCGCGAGTCTAATATTTCAGAAAAAGAAGGAAATTTTCTATGTTTATGTGCTTGAATAATTCTGATTTTTTCCCCTCTGATTTCAGGCATCGCCGGCCTCTTCACGGTCTTTTCCAGCTTCGTCTTCAGCTCGAGCGTGATCAATTTCCTGCGCAGCGACGTTTCCGACCTCAAGTGAGTTCACGCACTCGGTTTTTGATGCGAGAGAGCACAAAACATTGGCCGTGATAATGATCGACCTTGCATCAGACGCACGCTGTCCGTTTGTTTATGCTGCGAGAGACGGCTCAGCGGCTCCTTATGGCCGGAGAAAGTAAATCGCCGTGGCGGTGCCAGAGAAAGTCTCGAACGCGCGCGCCTTGGGATTCTTTCTTTTTTTATTGGCACCGCGCGGCTGTTGCAATTGTCGTTTATTAAAATTTTCGTGTTTATTCTAGACGAATGTCCACTTAAAATAAATTTCAATATCGTATAGATTGAGAAATTGGTTCTGCTCGTAAAATTTAATTGCAGTGCTTTTTTAAATTTATTGAGCCTACTGGACTTGCGACGTAGATATTTTAACCAGTTTTGTCCTCTGTGTTTTTTTTTAACCAGCATTCTGCATTAGCTCTTGGGAAAAATAATTAGCAGTACATTCGCATCCTGTAAAATAATTTAACGAGGGTGACATCTACACTGTAAATAAAACATCTTAGTGTGAATTTTTTTATGTCAACTGACCTATTGACTCTATTTTTCCATCCAAATAAGGGTGATGTGAACGTGATTTGCTGAAATTTTTATCAATTTTGATCGGGCCAATTTTGAGTAAAATTATTTTAAGAAATTCCCACAAGAAACAGAGTTAAATTTAAAAATTTAAGTTGTCCCAAACAATGTCTCCTTGAAACTGACATCTAAAAACCAATGCTAATGCGGAGAAAAATATCCTTCAAACTTGGACGGGCTGTTTTTTTTCTGCTAAAGCCTCTCGTTAAATAATTATGAAAATGTCAACATATTTGTTGCGGCCACAAAAATTTAGATCAATATTTCTTTCAACTTAAAATAACAAAATATTTTTTTAATTAAATTAGCAAACAAATTATTTTAGCTGAAGTAATTTAATTTTTTTAATAATTATTTAAAAATTGGTTAAAATTCTGATTCTTGTTATTTTTTTTTCAGGGATGCTTTGTTCTTCTTCCTTTTGTTGATCGACCTGTCGAAAACAACTCTGCTGGCTCGGCTGGCTTTGAGCTCCAACAGCCAGGCCGAAGTGCGCAACAACATTGCTCGCGGCATGGCGATCGTCGGCCCCACAATCACCCTTGACACAGTGGTGGAGACTCTGGTCATTGGCGTTGGCACTCTATCTGGTTAGTTCGCACGCTTTTTGCCAAGATGCAAGTCGATTAATCGCAATACGTGCGGTCGCTTTTTCAGGAGTGCGCCGTTTGGAGGTTCTCTGCGGCTTTGCTGTCCTATCAGTACTTGTCAATTACATTGTGTTCATGACGTTCTACCCGGCTTGCTTGTCATTAATCTTGGAGGTAAATTAACTGAAAATTTTCTGTTGCGGTCTTATTGAAAAAAGTTCAATAAGATGAGATCACAGTGACCCTGGTTGCTGATGAAAAATTACTCTGCGCTTGTTTCGGCCGCAACATTTTGATTAAAAGTTGCTGCGAGGCCAAACGCAATTAACTCTGATTTTTTTACTTGCAGCTGACGAGAAACAGCGAAGAGAACCGTCCCTTGTGGAACGACAAGTCAATCATTCTCGGTCTGCAGGAGGAGGAACAAAAGCCGAATCCCGTCGTCCAGAGAGTCAAAGTCATCATGTCGGCCGGTCTAATGCTGGTTCACGCGAGAAGGTGAGCAAAGTAGCCAGAATCGCGTCAGAGGCATGTTTGTTAGAAAAGTAGCACCTTTTTTGCTTTGCTTTGATTTTCGGTTGCGATGGCAGGAAGTGAGGCTTTTCATAAACATGAGGCCCCTTACGAAGTAGGTTGAGAAAAGCGAGTGCGCGCATTCAAAGTCAAATATTGTGTTACGTAAATGGTGCAAACTGGCAGCTAAAGAAAGAGGCAAACCGCTCTCATTTCCATACTCCTTGTTAGAATTTATGTGTGTTCTTTGCATCGTAATTTTTTGTTTGTGTGAGTTTCCTTTCTTTGTAACTGCACCCCCTCACAAACCGCATTGCGCGCCGTCCGTCCAGCCAGCGCACATGATTCATCTCTCGCGTTCGCACCGAGCACTCTTCTTTTTTTGCTATAATAACGGCCAGAGTCATACAATTTTCAATTATTGCTGCTCCAGCCGCTGGCCATTCCGTACCGAGGAGGAGGATATTCTAAAAGTTGCTTCACCGGCCGGATCTCTCGGGACAGAACACAATATGCCTTCCAATAATACTGAAGAAGCTGAAATTCCTGCCTTGATTATGAAGTAAGTGTAGCTTTTATTATTTCCAATTTTCACCGCTTATTATGTATCATTAACTAGTTTCAATTTTTTTTTTATAAAATTTGTGTTTACTATTCTGTGTCTCATTGGCCTGCTTGCTGATCATGAAATTTGCAGGTGGTTGACTGTTAGTGCCGACCAGGTTGTGATTTTAATTCTGCTGCTCGCTCTTGCTGTGAAATATGTATTCTTCGAAGAGCGGGACGAACTTGCCGAACAGCTCCTTTTGCCTGAAACCCCCACAGGAGAGGAAGCAAGTGAGTGTTATCAATGATTTTTCTATATTTTGAGTTTCAAACTAATTTTTAATGACTTCAGATACTGCCCGACTTAACTTACTGCTGCGAAGGCGCTTCGGCCCTCCTGGCTATGAGCCATTGTGCCAAGCCGAGGCTGCCGACAAAGCCCCCATGGAGGATAGAGGTGTCCAAACAGACCATTGCTCCTCAGCCTCCTTCTGTCTTGGCTCGACCCCAAGTGAGGAGGCCCTTGACGAAGCCACCGACGCCTCCACAATCACCCCTCCCCAAACGCCAGCTCTGAAGAGGAACCTGGACGAGTGCCTCACAATCTTCCGTTCAGTGGTGGGAAATTTTTGCTTATTTTTTTACCATTTAATACTAAATAAATAATGAACAGGAGGGCGCTGCAGCACTGTCTGACGAAGAGGTGATCCACCTTGTCAGCCACGGACACATTCCTCCTTACCAGATCGAAAAGGCTGTCAGTGATTTTGAGAGAGGCGTCTGCATCAGGCGGCAAATCATCGGAAAGGCTGGAAGTTTCATCGAGGCGCTGGAGAATCTGCCTTTCAGAAATTACGATTATTCTAAAGTAATTCAACTCTCCCAGACCTTTTGAAAGTTCAGCAAGTTTCTAATGCAAATGAATCCTCGCTTGTAGGTTATGGGATCCTGTTGTGAAAATGTGATTGGCTACATGCCAGTTCCTGTTGGTGTTGTCGGTCCCCTGAGGTTGGACAGCGACAGCTACTACGTGCCTATGGCCACGACTGAGGGCTGCCTTGTGGCCAGCACACACCGTGGTTGCAAAGCAGTAATGACATGTGGCGTCTCCAGCCGAGTCGTAGCTGACGGCATGACCAGAGGACCCGTTGTCCGTTTCCCCTCAATGACCAGAGCAAGGTAAAGACTTTTTAAATTTAATAAATTATATGCTAATTTACACAAATTACAGTGACGCTATGCACTGGATAGAACAGTTGGACAATTACGAGCAGCTGAAGGAGAGTTTTGACTCGACCAGTCGCTTTGCCAGGCTCAAAAGGCTGCATGTTAGGATAGCAGGACGACATTTGTTCATCCGGTTTGTTGCCACCACAGGTGACGCAATGGGCATGAACATGCTTTCAAAGGTATGCTGGAAAATATAAAAATTTTACATGTGATATAAAAATTGATTTCGCTGTTTAGGGCACTGAATACGCACTGAAACTCATTCAAAAAGCATTCCCTGAGATGGAGATTTTGAGTCTTTCAGGAAATTTCTGCACAGACAAAAAACCAGCAGCAGTCAATTGGTAAAAATAAATATATTGGAATTAAATAGAAAAAAACTATAACTTTTTGATATTAGGATTGAAGGCCGAGGAAAGTACGTAGTCTGTGAAGCCATCATTCCATCTAAAATTGTGACCACCGTGCTCAAGACCTCGGTTCAAGCCTTGATTGATGTCAATATTGCCAAAAATATGATGGGTAGCGCCATGGCTGGCAGCATAGGCGGTTTCAACGCACACGCAGCAAACATTGTCACAGCTATCTATATTGCCACTGGACAAGTAAATAACCTTTTTTTTTTAAATAACAAAAATTATAATTTGTTCTGAAGGACCCTGCACAAAATGTGGGCAGCAGCAATTGTATGACCCTGATGGAGCCTTGGGGAGAAGATGGGAAGGACCTTTATGTCACCTGCACCATGCCCTCCATTGAAATCGGAACCGTTGGTGGCGGCACCACCCTTCCCGCACAAGCTTCCTGCCTAGACATTCTCCGTGTTAAAGGTTTGATCATTCTTAATACAAAGCGTTCCTTTTCTAATTTCTCAATCAGGCGCCAGCAAAACCAACCCAGGAGAAAACGCAGACACTTTGGCCAGGATTGTGTGCGGCACCGTCCTTGCTGGTGAACTTTCCCTGATGTCCGCCTTGGCAGCTGGACATTTGGTCAGAAGCCACCTCAGGCACAACAGGTCAGTTTGATGATAAATTTTTTTTTCAAACAAAATCTTAAAATTTGTTTTTCAGGTCATCTACCTCCAACACATCGATGGAGGCGGCGGTAACGTCCGCCTTGTTCAGCTCTCAAACACACTGACCTGCTTGACCCTCAGATTGGTGATCATCCCACTGCCCACCGATCATGCAACAGACACTTAAAATCCTCTTCTTCTCTGCTTCGGAGAATACCATTGAAAAAAAGCATTGTTGGCCAAAGTGGATAATTGAAACTTTCTAAGTAAACCTCAGCTTCGAGAAGTTCACTGATACATATACGGGCACTTTTTCCCGCCCAAATTGAGTGATCAAATGTGCGTATCATTTGTAATAAGTGTGAATGCTGAAAGTACGTAAATGGTGTAAATAATTTTGTAATTTTCAATGAAGACATTTTCCATTTGCTACTCTTACCTCTATTGCAAAATGAGACATGTTGAAATTATTTAGAAAAAAACGACTTGCTGAAGCGCACTAACAATAAGTGAGGCTAAAATTGGCTGAAATTACTCAGCTGATTGTGTTATTATTTATGACTGTCGATTTCATTGAAAATTGTGCCCCTGATTTTGGATTTTCCATTACGGCACCTTGAATTTGGTGGTCAAATGTCGATGCTCAGTGAGTGATGAAGTGTTAGTTATTTTTATGGATTGAGTCAGGTCTTCCCTGGATGAGTACTTGTATTTTTCAGCAAGTGCCTGTTTATAATAGGCCTATATTGTAAATTTTATTGTAACGGATTATTAAAGATGAAATCAAAAACGAGTAATTTTATTTTGAACTTCACTAAATCTGTTATTTTAAAAATTAAATAAAATAAAGATCAGAAATTACGAGTACTGTGTAAGTTTTGCTCAGAATTACATTTTCTCAAAGGTTTCTTCGTAACCACAAGTGGTGCAAGTGTGGGAGTAATTATCATCACCAAGATCTGTTTCTGGTCCAAATTCGTGCTCATGATTTGCTTTCGTCTTGTCGTAAAGACTGCTCCTCACCTGCATCCTCAAGCCTTTAAATTGAAACAAAAATGTAATTTTTTTTTTAAATTGAGCTAGAAAAATATTACCTTTCATGTGTTTGCTATACTTCTTGGCTTTGCTCTTCTCCCTCTTTTCATCTCGCCGTTCTCTTTCCAATTCAATCTCCTCAAGATTTCCCCAGACTTCGAGGGCCCTTTCTTCAACCTGCAGCTGCAGATACAATTTCATCTCTCCCCATCTGACATCATGGGGGTTCTTGCGAAGGAGAAACTTCAACGGAGGCTCCCTTTTATCCAGATCACAATCTTTGAGTAAATAAGTGTTTTTGGCGTCGGTTTTTGTGATTAGTGCGTGTTGCTCATCTTGGTTTCTAAAATGATCAAGAATTGTAGTTTTTAAGCAAAATGTACCAAGGTTAAAAACTCACTTGCATTTGTCACAAACGGAATAATCAAAATTGTTCAGCAGGAATGAATCGTCAAATGATTCGCTGCATTCCAAACATTCAGGTCTATCAAGGTCATTCACAATGGGTTGCGGATCCTCAGTTATTTTTATCTGTCAAACATTCATTATTTTAAAAAGGGGAAAAGTTTTAATCTGTTTTATTATCTAAATATAAAATAAAACAGTGAACAAATTTAATGAACCTCTTTCTCTGTTTCGCCATCAGTTTCTTTAATGAAGAATCCACCTTTTGTGTCAATCATTTTGGTGCCTTGAACTCTCATTACATTTTTGTCTTTGTCAAAAAATGCTGCCTTATCATCACCACCAAAACTTGACCTGTGAAATAATGCAACATTCATAATAATTGATAAAAATTATGTAGTAACATACTGTATATTTTTTAACAAAAGGACAAAAGATTATTTATTATGATTTATGATTAATGTATTTAATTACTTAGCAGTATTTTGGTTTACCATTTTTTATTTGTGTAGGGCTTGGTTTTCTCTCTCAATTCCTTTAGCTTCAGAGCCCTTAGCCGGTTTATTTCTATTCTCTCCTTTTGCAGGGCAGTCAAAAAGCCAGAGGATTCACACGACGTGCTGCTGCCTTCACCAGAGTTGTTGGATTTGGTGCTCGACATTGTGGAGAAGTTTAGTCTGTCACCAAAATCACACAATTACAATTTAATTTTACAATTCATTTACTTCTTCTAATTAAGATTAAGATTGAATTGAAGGGGTTCGGCGAATGCACACACAAGAAGTGGGCGTGTATTTGTTTACGAAGCTTATTTTTATTTGTTTTGATTTTTTATTTAGTAGGTAGTAACAGAAGGAGATAAAAACTTAAATTTTGAACTGGAAATGAATCTAAATTTAAAAATATTTAATGTTTCCGGTAGTATTTTTTACTTTTAATACATAGCTTAATAGAAGATTAGTTCTTTAAATACCAGTTTTCTATGAAAGGCTTATCTATAATTACCTTATCAGTCTCCCTCCTTTGTTGACGCCTTGCTCGTGTACGCCCCTCTTCTCCGACCACTTCAAATTTTTAATCAGCTTGCAGAAATTCATGATACAAGAGAGCAATCAATCACAACATGCTAAATTTTAGTGCCTTAACGTCAATGCCAGGATTCAACAAACTCTAAACTCTATTATTCGGCTATTTTCCTTGCAATTGTGCCTTTCGTAATGGCACTTCCACAGATTGAAGGCTACGTAGTGGTGGAGAAGATTGGCGCAGGAAGTTATGCCACTGTTTACAAAGCTTACAAAAAGGTTGATGACTTTAATTAATTTTTGTGCAATAGTTCTACCATTTCACTCATGATTAAAGAGCGGACCCAGAGCTGTGGTTGCAATCAAATGCGTTGAAAAGGGAAAATTGTCCTCTACCACAATAGAAAATTTGCTGACTGAAATTTCCTTGCTGAAGAAGCTGAAGCATCCAAATATTGTTGAAATGAAGGACTTTTTCTGGGATGACAAGTACAAATATTAATATCAATTATCAATTTCTTAATGTAATTAATTTTTAAGGTACATCCACATTGTCATGGACTATTGCGCTGGTGGTGACTTGTCAAATTTAATTAGGCAGAAGCGCAGACTGCCTGAAAAGACGTGTCGGAGGTTTCTGCAACAACTGGCGTCAGCTTTGCAATACATCCGAAGCCAAAATGTGTCACACATGGATTTGAAACCACAAAACTTACTTCTGGCCTCTCGAACAAGTCCTGTTTTAAAAATGGCTGGTAATTCCTTAAAAAAAATTATTTACATGTTTCCTTTATTGAAAATTTTCCAATAGACTTTGGTTTTGCTCAAACTCTGAAGTCGTCGGACCACAGCAGTTCGTTGCGAGGCTCTCCTTTGTACATGGCACCGGAGATACTCCTGTCTAAAAGTTACGACGCCAAAGTTGACTTGTGGTCTGTCGGAGTGATTTTGTACGAATGCTTGTTTGGAAAGGCTCCTTACTCTTCCGCCAGTCTTGATCAGCTCCTTGAAAAAATTAAGGCACATGCACCTATTGAAGTAAAAAAAAATTTTTTTATTTTTTATTTTAGTCTTTACAAAATTGCAATCTTTCAGATGCCCTCGTCTGGGTACCAAGTGAGTGCAATTTGTCAAGACCTACTGACCAGGCTCCTGCAACACGATCCAGCCGTCAGAATTGACTTTCCTGACTTTTTCGCTCACCCATTCCTGGACCTTCAACATGCCCCTGATGAAAAGTCTCTGGAAAAAGCAACCAAGCTGGCTACTGAGGCTGTCCAAGCAGACCAAGAGCAAAATCACTTGAGAGCAATACAACTTTACGAGCAGGCACTGTTGTTCCTAAAGCCTCTCTATGATGGTATTTTTCTAAATTTTAAAGGGATTAGGTTTTATTTTCTAAATTTTAAAAATTCAGCTGAGACCGATGAGTCTAAAAAGTCTGCTTTGCAAGTCACCATGAATCAATATAGACGCAGGATGTGTGAGCTGAAAACGCTTACTTGTGGTTCTTCTGTAAGCACTGCAGCCTTAAGAAGTTCAGACTCAAACTTTGAGGAACTTGGTAAAGAAAAATTATTTATTATCTTAAAAACATCTAATAAACATCGAATCAGTCCGATTGTCAATTTCCACTCCTTCACTTCACAATGCCTTAGAGTTGGGAGTTGTCGCAGAGCAGTATGAATGTGAGCGAAGTTATTCCGTAGCGTTGGAAAAGTACCAGTCGTGCTTGGCAATTCTGATAGAGCATCTGCCAAGGGAGGTCAAAGGCAGCAGGCGTCAACATTTGCTCCACCTGCAGGTTGGCCCATTTTTAATCAATCATTATATTTTTTCAAAAATTTAATTTATAAGGTTAAAAAATGGCTGAAACGAGCAGAAGTTGCAAAAGCCATGATGGAATTGCCTGAAGACGAGGAATTTTCTTTGGACTCCAAAGGTAAAATCACTAAATTATTTTTCGTTGCTCTCAAGATCTTATTAATAATAATTGTAATTATTTTCAATGCAGACAACTGTTGGATGCAGTAAGTGGTTAGTAATGATTATTTCCTGTGATTTGTTGTATTTGCCATGCTATTTATTTGTACACACTGCTAAATGTGATAAACACCAATGATATTATAAATTTAAGAAAGAAAAAAATGAAAATATTTTTATCCTTAAACAACTTCCAATTTTTATGTTATTAGTTTTTTCACGATAAATAAACCAAAAAATGATAATAATTCAAAATTCATAATTTTGTTTACCATTAAATGAACTTTGACCTCAGTTGCAGGTTAAGATAAGATAAAAGTTAAGAAAATATTCTTTAATTTAGTCATTTTATGCCTTTCAACCTGCACAATGATTTATTACGATTTGCGTCTTGATGATAAAATGCTGTAAATTCTCCGTTTATGAATATTAATGTTCAAAATTTTTTGCCATTACAAATTCCGCACTGCGCACCACTGGTCGCAGTATAAAATTGCCTGTGCATCTCTTTTCGCGCTCTCAGTTTTTTTTCTCTGCCGCCGGCTGGGCTCCTCCCCTCCTGCGCGATCTTTTTTCACCCCTCCACTCGTATCACATCCGACGGTGGAGAAGTTGATTGACCGCATCCCCTCCACAATAAGCAGGTCGTTGCTGCACTGCTCGTTCGCAGAGAGGGGGTAAATTATCTTGCTCGGCAACTTTCGTGAAAAATCGCCCGCGGATAAAATTTTCATCGTGAACAAACATCTACCTTTTTATAGCAAGACTGAACTTGTACGCTATGTGGTCAGAAATAGAAGCAAAATATTTTATTTCTTTATTTTGCGATTAAGTTGAATTCAAAACACGTACATTATGCTAAAAATATAGAACATAATTATAAATTTTTAATTTTTTTCAGCATGAAAAAATAATTTAGGAAAAATTTTTAAAATAAATTTTTTTTTCAAAAGTTTATAAGTTTGTAAATCTGAAAAAAAAAATCAAGTTTTTCACTTTTCATGTAAATATTGATTTTATCAGATTTAAAGGCAATTTTTCCTGCTACATGTTTCGATCGTTGTGTAACTTTCCTGCTGACGCGCAGCTAAAAATTGATGACTCATCGTCATATTTACGATATGTTTAGAAAAGAAAATAAGCAAACGAGTCCGCACAAGGCATTAAAAGTTTTGAAATCCTCCCCCACGTAACGTCAACGTGGCTACCACGCAAGAGCGGAAGCGGAAACGGCTTTTGATAAAGCGGGTCACCCCCAGGAGCCCCCACAAAAATAAATGACGACCTAATTTAACGCCTTCCCCCACCTAGCCGCGGGGATTGACGCATGCGCTAACGGTGCGCTCGAGTCTACGGATTGTCCGCTAGCCTCGCGCGCAGCCCCTAGAAAGGTTCAATATAGTACGGTGACGTCACGCAATTTACTCATAACACGTTTTTTACAGGCACGCTCGCGTCGCTGATTGGCTGACGGCGAGAGGGGCGTTCCCATTGGCGGGTATTTCGAGGCCGGAGGTTCGGAGGCAACCTTGAAAACGGAGCGAACGTGCGTGCGAGGCTAGGGAGGGGAAGGACAGATATTTCAACATCGACAAATGAAACAAGGCTGCGCGGTACAGCCACAGGCATGTTCAGCGAGACCGAAATGCCAAAATCACGATCATATGACGGTCGGTGTACATGCAGCCGCTAGTCCAACACAGCGCAGAGTTCGAGTTCGTGGGCCGTCATAACCTGAGAGCTCGTTTTCAATGCCCAGGAGCCCCGCCGACGCCGTCGACGAACAAACTCCCAACCGAACGCATAATTTTGCCCGCTTTCCCGGAAAGTTGAGCTGCAGGGCGACCCAGTCGGCCTGGAGTCTGGACTTGTGAGATGGAAGTGCTGGACGACGTCGACGACTTGTCCTAGTGGAATCGGAACCAAAACATGGCGATGCCTCCTGTTACCGCCTTTTCAGCGCCGAGCCAGGCCCAAATCGGAGGAGGTAAATTCTCGCAAAATTCAAAAAATTCGGCAACGTTCATTCGCCCCGAAACGCGCGCCGATAGGCTCGGGCGTCGGCCACGACGGCGCCCTTGTTTACAAACTTTGTGGCCCACTTCGGGTCTCTCCGGGGCCCCATGTGAGCATGCTGGGTTTGTTTTTCAAGCATATTTCGATAAATTTTTTGCAATATGTTCGATCGGGGTCAGAGGGCGGAGATTTTCCAGAAAAGAGCAAGGCTTTTTGATGTGAAAGTAGGAGTTAAGCCATGCTTTATGTATGTATTAAAGTACATAATATACCTATTATGTATATATGGTCGCTGTCATTGCTCGCGGCTCAGTTATTGCTCAATTAATCAGTGGTTTTGCAATATTTGCTGTAGCTTTTCTATCTTCTAACCCTAGAAAAATTTATCTCAAATGTCACAATAGGGAATGTTTTTGCCAAATAAAATTTTTTGCTGTACACACAGTTTAAATTACGTATGTACTAAATTGCCCGTTTGTTCTGCTATTATTTAGAACAAATTCAAATTTCCATTTTTTCCTAAGGATAAACAATAATGAAATGTTCAAAACAGTTTTGAAAAACAATAATATATATGAAGAAAATTGGTATACTAAAAAAATGACTCACTTATACGTATCAATTAAAATATTGAAATACACAAACGCTTTATTTTTGTTTATTTTTTTTTATTTTTATTTTTTAATATTATTTTTTTTTTTTTTAATAAATACATAAGGTTGGATAAATTGTTTTGAAATGGTTTGAGTCAAATGAAATAATAAAAATCAGGCATTCAAAACAATATAAGTTCGATTTAAATTTTTTACGGACAAAGAGAAAGATTATTTAAATGAAGAGGGTTTTTCATTTTTGTGTATATGTTTTGAATTTTTTCGTACTAAAGAATCAGTTGCAAGGTCAAGTACATTTAACTTAATTATGTAACTTATTTAATCTAAAAAAAAACATTAATTTTAAATTGCTGACGTGGACATGAATACATATAATATATTTGTTTTTCCATCTCAATTTCTTGATTTATAAACAAAAACATAATTTCAGGTGCCAAAGTGAAGGTGGAGCGAGCCGATGAGGCCGAAATCCAGGCTATTGCCAACAAAATCATTGAGCAAAACCGGGCCACTGAAGCAGCTAATAAAGCCAAGCAGGCGGCCCAAGCAGCAAATGTGGCCAGGCTGGTGCAGAGTGGCATTCCAGCCGGCTCCATCCAAAACTACTTAATTCGCACCCCGAATGCTTCAGCAGCTGACAAGTCCGACGTCCAGCCGGTCGAGGTTTCAGCTAAAAAGTCTGATGCGAAAAGCTCCGAGCCGGCCATCGACGAAGAAACACAAAAGGGCCACTTTGGTTGGGAGACCATCTTAAAAACGCACTTTCCGTACGTTTTGAGAAGAGGCCAAAAGTACAGCTCTGTGAGAATCATAGACTCAAAAGTGCTTTTCCACTACTTGTCAGTCCTGAGGCCCGAAATCTACACCTGCACAACCATCAGGAGCGAATACATGACTGAGGCTGAGGCAAGAATGTTCAATGAAATCAACACAAAGCACTGTGACTGTAAGCCCATACTTTCTTTACAAAAATGTTTGAATGTTTCTGCTAAAATTAAAATAGCATTCCAAAAGTGTTTTGACAGGAAACCATAGATAACAAAATGCTTAAAAGCTTTTTATCTTTCTAAGAATTCAAGGCCACTAATTGAATCTAGGTGCCATTTTTTGCAATTATATCCTTGATGTAGACTTTTACGCAGGATATTTTTTTATTGGAATTCCTAGATCTTATATTGAAAATACTAAGTAATATGTTTGATTTTCAGCAACTTACGGAAACGTTCTGTTCACCAACCACGACCTCCTCGTGAAAGTGACTGATGTCTGCGAATTCTACAGGTTCCTGGACATGTGTGTGAATAAATTGTGCAATGACCGAAGCCAACCCGGTGACCGTTGTGGTTTTGTGCGAATAAATGGCGAGTCGGTAGTGCCGTACACAATCAGTGGACCCAGCCAGTTTGTGCCTCTCTTCTACTTTGAAGGCGAGACGGACACTCTCAAGCTCAAGGCTGAAAAGCTCGGTGGCTGGGACCTGTCATACCTCAAGTTCTGTTGCAAGGTGCAAGGCATACGCAATGAGTTGTTTGCTTCGGAAACATGTTCTGTGATCAGCTTGGACGACATCAAGTCCTACTTCCCGCCAGGCACCATTTTCGAAGACTACTGGCCGACCAAGGGTGTCGACAAGAGCTCCCTGATTGACCCGACCAAGAGTCAGTTGAAGGGTGCTGTACGAAGCGGCGCCTGGACCATTCAGCCCAAGGAGCCTCCACCACCTTTGCCCAAGGTTGTACCAAAACCTGTCATTCCAGCAACGCCTGTTGCGCAAGTGACGAACGGCTGGAACGGCCTCATGGGAGGTCAGTCTCAATATCAGACTAGTAGTGTTGTGCAGCAGCAGCAACAACAGCAGCAGCAGCAATTCAACAGGATGGGGCAGACCAGCATGATCCAGAATAACTTGGTAATTTGAAAAACAAAAAAAATTATGCCGAATGTGTACAAGATTCTTTGGGAAATCCAGTAGAGCTGGGATTCGTCTTCTCTCCTGCTCAGGGGGCAATTTGATTTATTTGACACTTGTCCCATTTTTAACACTTATTATTGATTAATTAAATTTTATTCATTTTCAATTTCAGTATTCCATTGGCGGATTGATCTACAACACTCAAAGTAGTCAAAATGGCCAGACCACTAGTTATTACAACCAGGTAAATGAATTAAAAAATAATTTAAATGAAGTTTTATTCAACCAATTACTAGGTGCATTCTATGCCAACGGGTGCGACCCCTCAGCCACCACCTTTAGTTAGAACAACAACTACTTCCACTATGAATTTGACTGCAAATTTGAGGTAAGAAAATATTATTCTTTCTCTTTTAGCTATCAACACTCACTAGAATTAGCTATATAATCAATATGTCAACATTAAAGTAGGTCAACATTGTACCTATTGTGATATATTGAAAATTATCCTTACATGTTGGCTGCATTATCATAATAGCTATCAAGTTAAAAAATAAAGGTAACGGTAAATTGCACATTAATTATTATTGCAGGATTAAAGTAACACTTTCTGTTGAGCTATTATTATTAAATGGGTTTTACGTAATTAAACATATTTTAAATAATTAAAGAAAAGTGTAATCTAAAATTTAAATTTATAGGCGTTTTAAACATTTCAAAGACAAAAATTTAATTCTAAATCTTCAATTCTATCGAAGTAGACTTCAATGGAATCTTGGAGAAAATCTCAATTTACCCTTAGAATTTACTTTATCTATCCATCACATTACTCACTTGCATTCTTTACATTTTCCAGGCCCTCACCCGCCTACCCAGCAACCACAACCAGACAGGCAACAACCACAAATCTGATCACATCGACTGGAAGGAACACGTCGATTTTGCTCAATCAAGCTAACTCGGGATCGACAGCCGCAGCACTTCTTGCTGCGCAAATGCTCCACAGTCAAAATCAGCAACAACTCTCAAGACAGCAATCCAGCCAGCAGCAAATTCTTCAGCAGCAGCAACAACAACAACAACAGCAGCTGCAGCAGCAACAACAACAACAGCAGGTTAATTTCACCTTGATCAACAATTTTTTTTTTGATGAACCCGCAAATTTCTTTATTTGCTTTATGTCGCTTTTAAATTATCAACATATGAATGATTTCTAAAATATTTTGCATTTTTGCAGAGATTGCGCTTGCAGCAGCAAATTCAGTACCAACAAGTGCAGCAGCAACGCACCCAACTACAGCAGCCCACCGTGCAGAGGGTGAACAACAATATGGCCCAGCTGACGCAGCGACTCCTGCAGCAGAACAACAGCAGTCAGTTACAAATCCAACTGCAGCAGCAGCAGGCAGCCGCAGCCTTGAGGCAGCAAGCAGCTGCAGCCAACAAGCAACACACAACCCCACCTCCACTTGTTCCCACAAATGGTTTAAGGTTGGCGTCTGATTTTTGTTAATAACTTAAACTGACCCAACATTTCAAATTTAGAACAGTGGATTCTCAAAAGTTGACCACCATCCCTGAAGTTACGATTCCACCTGGCAACAGCCACGCCCCATACAAGGTTCAAAAGGCACTAGTCGAAGATGTGTTGGTAAGACGATTATTATTCAGAAGACAATAAGATGAGAATTTTTACATTGTTTGACTTCCAGACCCCGTGCATAAATTCAAAACCATACCACAATTCTGAGCTTTTGATGACCATGCCTGATTTGGTATCAATCTTCTTCCCAAATACTCAGCTTCACAATTGCAGAAAAGTTCTGCAAGAAGTTTTAAATATTGAGCTCTTCAAAGGAAATACGTAGGTTTCAAATTAAATTCATAAAAAATTAACATTTATTAATTGCAAGTTGTAAGTTGGTTCACTGTTCATTTTTTATTGTTCCAGGCTGCAAATGAGGGCTTTGATGGAGGCTGGAAAGTGTAGCTCCCTGAATGAAACTCTTCCTCTGATCCAAGTGCGTGATGTGATGAAGTTCTACCCCCAGATCTCGTACATTCTCAAAGTGAAGAGTTCCGAAATGGGAAACGCAAGCAAGCGGCAGAGGGTCAGTTGACCGGAGGAGCCACCGCAGAAGCATCCCCATGACTGGTGGTAAAGTTCTGCAGTGGACTTAAAAATTCTTCCACTCAAATTCAAAAGTTCCTGGTCACATTTTCAGTAAATTTGTTCATTTGGCGTGTCTGCTTATTGATTTGAAAATTGTCCAGCCGGTAAGACTTCTTCTCTCATCGCACGACTGATTGTGAGGAATAAAGTTTAAGCGTTAAAAGTATTTTGCGATCTTCATTGCTCCCGACCTGCTAAATCAACCTACAGAATCAAATACAAGGACTATGGGATGGAAATTTGTGCATCAACAAGAAAAGTGCATCTCGATATCCAAAAATGCAAGTGAGCTACATGAAAGGCTAGTGAAACTATGTAAATATTTGTAAATGAACGCATTTGTTGATACCCATTACTAAGGTTAAAACAGAATGTTGGAGGCACCGTGGGACATGTGAGCGCATCTTGTGTTTTAGTAGAGCACTGAAATCTGCTTAAATGCATAATTATAAACTGTTGTATTGCCACTCGGTTATAAATTCGCTTCTGTGAACAATTTACGGTTTATTTAATTAGTTTCTTTTTGTGACTGATACGATCTTAAAAGATCAAAAATGACTATTTATTAATTTATTGATTTTCATGTATATTTCTTTCACAGAAAAAAACCGAGAAAGGAATTTATGTTACGTAACATAAAATAAAATCTTCAATTTTCTACTGGAAGAAAATATTTTTAATTTTTAGTCCTTGCTTAAAAAATGAAGGCTCTAAGGATTGAGTTTCGATAAATCTAAAAAATACAATTGTGCCAAAAAAATACACACTACATCACGGACAATCAGGGATTGATCCGAATAGGCATCTTCTCTCCTCGGAGTCAAACCTGGAGTCATTGGGACACAAATACCAGCTTAAGATGAAACCACCTGTTCTGCGCGGAGAACAAGCGTAGTACCCCTTGCAGTTCTTCAGATCTGGAAACAGGCCAGGCTCGTGGCAAACAAACTCTGGTACAAGGCAGGTGCGGGCGCAAATCAAGTCGGACTGCATGTTGCACTGGAAGCCAGCGACACAATTCATTACCTCACTCGATGGCGCCAATCCAGCATCTGGACATAAGCGAAAGCTCGTACAGTTGGAGCAAACAAAGCCAAACTCGTTGCAGACCTCTTGGTCACCATGAATTGGCACCATCATCTAAAGGAATTTTATATTGCTCAAAATATTCTTCCTATTAATTGTATAATATTATTAAAACCTTCTCCTCTTTATTACTTTTATGAAAATATGATACTAAAATTATTAAATTCTATAGCTTTTGTCTAAATTAAAATATTTGCCAATTACAAATTGTCACAGGAATTTAACAGGCTTGTGGCACACAGCCATTTCCTTTGGCAGACACCTCGCTTTGCTTACATCAAATTTAGTACCCTGAGGACAGCGGTACCTCTGCACTTTCCACTTATTATTGAAATTCAAACACACAAAGAATCCGTCGCAATCATTTTCCACGTCAGGGAATTTTCCTTCTTTCCCACAGTTGAAATGATGAATGCTGCAGTGCGATTTGCTTTCGTACTCACACCGTCCGCTCCTGGGGTCGAAGTTGCTCCCGTAAGGACAGACGTACTCCTGATAAGCGCCTCCAGGGCCGCACCAGTAAAAGGAAGCGCAACCTTCCTTGCTGGGGTACCTGCCAGCGTGTCTCAAATGGCAGAATTTCTGCGCGTTGTTGCAAACGCTCAAATCGATTGTGCACCTTTTGGTCATCTCGTTAAAAACCGAATTTCTTGGACAAATCGCCTGTCCCTGAGCAAAAGATCCATCCTCCAAAGGTAAGCACATGTGAAACTTTCGGCAATCTTTGAGGTCAGGATAAAGCCCTTTGGAGACACAGACAAACTTTTGTTTCTCCTCAAGATCCCTCAGGTCACATTCCTCGGGCCCAGTTGAGCACCGAGATAGTCTCGCATTGAAAGTCGATCCCGATGGACAGGAATACTTCCTCCAAGTGTCGTCAGGGTGACAAATTCTGAAGGAGGAACAGTCCTCAGGGTCAGGCACGGGGCCAATATCCGAACAGTGAAAATCTTGAAACTGCGGCTCGCACTTGGCTCTTTCCGGTTCGACGCACTTTCCGAACTTGGCGCTGAAATGACTACCCTGAGGGCAGCTGACCTGCATGTGCGTCAGGTTCGGAAGAAGACACATGTGGAATACGGAGCAGTCATCAACGTCAGGGAAGCGGCCTGGCTTGTCGCAGGTTGACGGCGGCGTTGCGTTGGCGTTCCAGGTTTTGCCGTCTTCAGACCCAGGCAAAGGGTACTCGTCCGAGGGAGCGTCAGGGTCCGGAATCGCGGTTGGTGGTTGCACTGGAGGGTCTTCGGAGCAGATGTACGGAAGGGAAGGGTCGCAGAAAAGGTCTTTTGGGCACGGGTCTTGGTGCAGGGTGTACAAGCACCAAGCAAAGGTTGAATTCGACGGGCAGATGATTTCTTGGTTTGGCGCACACTCGGGGCTCTGCGAGCAGAAATTTCGAGCCACCTGTTCGGCAACACAGTTTGGCTCAGAATTTGATACAAAATTTTAACAAAATTCAACACAAACATTTCTTTTTTTCTTTGACATATTTGTATTCAAATGAACATTTTACTATTTTATTTCAATAAATTGACAGAAATATGGCAAATATTTTAAATAACCGTTTTAAGAAAACTTCTGATTTTTTTTTAAATTTTTGTGCTAACCTGCGATAGAACGACAACAGCAAAGATCAGCCTATCCATCTTTTGCGACTGAGACGTTGGGCGTGTATTGGGCAAGTAGTGCAATTTAGCCGAGGTGTCCTCACTCGTCTGTACAATAAAGTTATTGGGTGTTGCATTGTTGAGAACTACTTTATCTTATTCGCGCACGATAATGATTGCATATATGCGTCTGGCTGGCTTTTACAACGCAACAATAAATTAATATAAGTGACGTAGGTTTCTTTTGTCGCGGCGTCCCTACAAATAAACAAATTATCAAGGTACTTGATGTACGTAAAAAAGTAAACTTTTTATACTGCGCCTTCAACTAATAATTGCAATCTTTATGAAACATTCAGGAAAATGAAGAAAAAATTGTTTAATAAATTATTTGTCTTGAATATTCTAGAGGAATCTCATTGAGGTCAAAATTAATGAACTTTGGTTTACAAAATATGGAGAGAAATATTTTAAGTGATAAGAACGGTCTAAATTGTTGAAATAAGACAATCACCCTTGTTAGAACTGAATAGAGAGCAATTCACAAAGGACGAATAAGAAAATGAAGCAATTTTGGAAAATATTACTGGTAGGAATAATTTTGATATGTAAAATTGAAGAATATTTAATTTGTCTTTCAGGTCATTATTAGTTTGCTGCTCACTGAAAGCAGTCAAGAGACGTTCGCAAAGGAAAATTCCAAGAACGCACTGGATAAAAATTCAGACGATTGCGGGCCAAGCGGTTTCCGATGCTTGGGGAATATGATTTATGGGCCGTGCAACGAGAAAAGTCAAAAGCGGGTGCAGTTTTGCCGAAAAGGAACAATTTGCGAGGACAGTGGCACTGATATTTGCATTCAAAAACCACCCACTTGCACCACAGAAGGGGCATTTTATTTACCAGGTTGTAACAAAATTATTTGTTTTTAGTTTGATTAAAAATTATTTTAATCCAGGGTATTGCAACCGGTATTATCTGTGCGTTCGAACGGGTTCCAATTTGAAGCAACACATTGGCGCCTGCGAGCCAGGTTTCGAATTCAGTCTTTCAACTGGAAATTGCACCCTGCCCCTTGAAGCCGACTGCTCTGTGAAAAAAGTGGTCAGCGTTAATCTGAAAAAAATTCCCCTCAGGCGCGTTGACGAGCAAGGCGGATACAAAATTTTCGTCTGCCCGAGTGCTGGATTATTCGCTGACCCTACTAGCTGCAGGCACTACTACATGTGTGTACGAAATTGGTTCCCAATCTTGGGAGGTTATCTGCAAAGCACAAGAATGATTTGCCCCCCAATTCTGCCTCACTTCAATAAGGAGAAGCGTCTGTGCTGGTTTTATGATGACAATTGCGGAGACGAAGAATAAAATTATTTTATTATCTTGAAGCGATTGTAAATTCTACAAAAAGCTTTAAACTACGCCTTAATTTCTTCATCAACTAAAATTTCGTTTAATTGGAGTGGTTGAGTTTTGTGTTGGAGCTTTAGAGGGAAATATAAATATCAAATATAGGAGTTTAACAAGTTACAAGGTAATTCTGAGAAAATTATTGGCTTATTTTATTTTATCAAAGCGTAATTAAACAGCTTGAAATTTTAAGATCGTTAACATAAATTAGCATTTTGTGTGAACTTAACGTTTGCAACGCATTTCCATCAGCACAACGCAAATATCGTGAAAAGAAACAGACCTTGGTGCCAAGATAAGTGAGGATCAGTTAGGAGTTGCACTTCACAAGAACTGAAGTCTGGTTGGTGCACAAGGAAGGGTTACGAGGTTTGCGTCTGACTTGATGCCGTTCCAACTTGCTTTTGCATTTGTGCCATCATTGCTTGCATCATATCAGCAATAGCTGAAACAAAATCAATTGAACAATTTTTCATTTAAAAAAAATAATAATAAATTAAAACTCACAATCTCTAATTTTGCTTTTTTCAATTCCAATCGATTGAATCTTCTCCATTTGCTCTGTTACAAATTTTACTTTTCTGTCAAAATAATCCTTAGCACCCTCAATGTCCTGAAAGGAAATTTTTTAATATCTGTAAGAATGAAATAAATTTTTTATTTACCTTTTCAATATAATACCCAGTTCCGATATTGATGAGGGCATTGTTTGAATCCAAAACTTTGCCGGAAACATACATCTAAAAATTATGCTATTAAGGAAAATTAAATTTATGCTGGGGAAATAATATTAAGTAAATTAATGAATCAAAATTAGTTGGTTCCGCGCGCGATATTTACAACGAAATTGCGTGGGTGTCTTTGAATGTGTTGGAAAAGGATACGGATCCAGTCAGAGGCACGAGGATTTCTTTGCCTTCCGAGTTGGGATCAACTCGCTCCATGCAATCTGCAGACTGTTGGAACTTCTGCTGGGCTACCTTCAGTGTCTGCAGCGAATCTTGCATCACAGCAAGTTCCTGAAAAATAGAATTAAACGATCTTGAAAAATGCATGCGGCAAAACAGCAGCCGACTCAATCGAAATTTGCATCGCTTTTTCGGGCACGAAGGTGAATGATTTATGGCCGTAATGATTAAAAATTTAATTAATTACTTGTTCCAAACTGTTTTTGATCGTGTTCAATTGAGGAAGGCCCATGTGGGGCCCGATTTCGATTTCCTGGACAGCGGCAGGGACATCGTTGGAAGTCATTTTTGGTTTTTAGAAGAAATGTGGGCGTGGGCGTGACTACCACCACCCTAGACCCCAGCGCCAAAGGACGATGCGGTCGACTTGAAAGTTGGAATATTGAAAACACAAAAATTGCAATTTTCATAAACAAATCTTTATTATTCAAACGTTTTGGCTACCGACAATTCGTAGAAGGAAAGGATTTATAGGTAAAAGAAACCTTGTTAAGCATACTTATCTTATTTCAATATTTCTGTAATATTCCTCACGTGTTTTAGTGAAAGAAACAACGAGATTTTGTCCAACAGCGACAGGCAAACAATTTAAGACCAAAAGGAAAAATAAAACATTTTTTATTGGTCATAGGAAAAAATTAGTCATGGAGAGTAGCAGGTATATTATTGCTAGCTTGATATGCCATGTATAAAATTACAATTACCAATATTTCACATGGTCTTGATTTATAAAGCATAAAGTAGAGGAAAAAGAAAAATCTGAGATTATTAAAAAATTGTTATTTTCAGAACAATAGCTTTCATCGAAGCAACAGGTGTTGTTCAGGGGTCTCTCACCAAGCACAAGGCTCTGATAAAATTTACCTGCAAGTTGAATGGCAAAGAAGAACTTGCACTGCTGAAGACCGAGAAATTTGCTCATCGCGGGGCCTTGATCAGCCAAGCCGAGGATGAGGCGGCCCACGTTTTGCAGTTTGTTGAAGTCGGCACCACGGTCCGATTCTTTGCCCACCCTTTGAATTCAAAGGAGGACGAGAAGGACGCACAGTGGTTCATCATGTACGGCTGGGACATAAAAGAGGAAAAGTTGCTGGACATCAAGTACATCCCTGGATTGTCCAACAGGGAGTGCACAGTCACTGAAATCGATGCCAGCGGCAAAAGGAAAGGCACACTCACCTATGAAAACCTGAATGATGAAAGTATTGACATCAGCTTTTTGGTAATAAATATATTGAGATTTTGTTTTTGAAATGTATAGAAAATTGTTTTCAGGCAAGCAAAGTGTGGTCCTTCGGAGCCCGCCTCAACCCAAAGCAGTCGCTGAAGACCCAAATGCCTCTTGACAACGTCTTCTACTGTGATGCAATTCCTCAGCTGTCGACCAGTGGAGACGGCATCACTTGGATGGCCACACATGTATGGCGTGGCCCAAGACACCATTCACAAAATAATGAGACAGATTGTGAGAATATGAAAAAAAATTTAATTGTCGTTAAATATATCCTGTTTTTTACCGGCAGATTCTGTGAGCTCTGAGATCAAGGAATTGATTCATCCCATCAAGAACATTGGACTGAATTGCAAAGCTCTCTTTGTGCAAGGACAAGGTCAAGTGCTGAGGATCATCAATGATGATTTTGGTCTCGCTTTGTTGCACATTGGAAATAACATATTCGAGTCGGTCTTGTTCCACCGCGCTTGGGTTTCTGCATTTGGTACATCAATGGCAAGCCAGAAACTGAAAGATGTGCTCCAAGATGGTGAGGATTGTTTTAATCAGCCTGATTAATTTATAATCATTTTCTATTGCAGGAGACCCCCTGAGACTGATCTGCACTTCAACCAGTGTTGGCAACACAAAAAGTGCCTTCCGATTCAAGTGGGTTGCGTGCAGTGTCCAACTTGCTTACGAAGAACCACAGGGCAAGTGATTTTTAATTATCTCTGAAAGCGATCTCAAAATGGAGATCAATTTGACGTGCTGCTGAAATAAGTAGCTGCATATGATGAATATTTTCCAGTGAAATTTATAAAATGGATCTTAGTTGTGCAAAGCCACTGATCAAGAGTGACTAGTTTAGGTACATTTTTTTAATAATATCAAAGATGAAGACTATTTTTTTTGTATAATATCAGATGTCAATAAAATTGAAGCATTTATTGGCTAAAGAAAAATATATTTGAAAATCTTTAACATAGCGCGTGGCAGTACAGAAGTGAAAATCCACCAAATTTTGATGAAAGTGCGCAGTTTTTACAACTTCTGCGTGAGCTCAGGTACGACCTTAAAGAGGTCGGCAACCAGACCGTAGTCCGCAACCTGGAAAATTGGTGCCTCGGGGTCCTTATTAATGGCAACGATGGTCTTGGAATCCTTCATTCCAGCCAAATGCTGAATGGCTCCAGAAATTCCTATAGCGATGTATATGTCCTAAAAAAAGATATAGCTTTAAAGGAAAAATATCTCTTTATTAAGTCAAAAAGACTTACAGGGGCAACAATCTTGCCAGTCTGCCCGACCTGCAGGTCGTTGGGCACAAATCCTGCGTCAACAGCTGCTCTCGACGCACCAACGGCAGCATTCAATTTATCGGCAAGGTCATACAGCATCTTGAAGTTATCTCCAGACTTCATTCCTCGTCCTTAATAAATTTTTTAATTACAATTAATGTTGGGGTGGATTGAATAAAAATCTACACGCACCTCCACTGACAACAGCCTTGGCACTGGCAAGATCAGGTCTGTCGCTCTTGCTCAACTGCTGGCTGACGAACTCAATTTTGTCAGACTTGCAGTCGGTGGCAGCAAAAGCCTCCGACTTTCCACTGCCTCCTGTAGCAGCAGCGGCCTCAAAATTAGTGCCTCGAATACTGACGACCTTAACCGGGTCCTTAGATTTTAAAGTGAGCACAGCATTTCCTAGTAAAATGGTTTTGATATAATTTAAAACATAAATAGAATGCAGTGATTAAAAAAATTACCAGCGTAAATTGTTCTGACAAAAGTGTCAGATGACTTGACGGCAATAATATCCGAGACGGGCGAAACGTCCAACTTGGATGCCACCCTGGGCAAGAGAGCTTTACCAAAAGCAGTGGCCCCAGCAACAATGTGCGTGAAATTGAACTGCTTCTGAGTGGCCAAAATCAATGGGGTCAGCGTTTCAGGGGTGAATCCGTTGAATGCCTGGTCTTCGGCCACCAACACTTTGCCAACACCAGCGGCCTTGCACACCTCCTCAGCAACCTGATTGAAAATTTTATTTAAAAACAAATATTGTTATGTAACAATAGGAGAGAAGGTTCACAAGATTAATAATTGTTTAATTTCTAAATATTAAAAAAAATTATTGGATCTAATTTTTTAAGGCCGTACCGCAGCGCATTTCGTTCCAGCGACGAGGACAGAGATGTCCCCTCCGATCTGCTTGGCTGCCGTCAGGGCATTCAGGGTGATTGGAGTCAATTTCTCATTGTTGTGCTCGGCGATGACCAAAGTGCTTTCGAGCCGTCTTAGCAAGGCCGAGAACTGTGGACCGAATTCAAGCCATTTAAAACAATTCGACGTTTTTCACGTGGACGAGACTCACCTGCTTTGACTGCAGGACAGTCTTAGATCGGGACAACATCATATTCCTTTGATTCGCCGATCCGCGGCACTCGAAAAATTGACCTTTCGTCTGAACTGAACGAAATTACGATAAGAAAGAAAACCTCAGAGACAGCAGCTGTGCTGTGGAGATATTTTGGTGCCTCCGAGGTTTTACACCATCTACCAACATGAACAAAATATATAAAAACCAGAATTTCCAGCAGTTCCAAACTGGTAAAATGGTAAATTATTGGAAACACTACATAAAACAATTGCTTTTAATCTGAATATTGGTTCATTATAAGTAATTTATGGACCGGTATGTAATGTATAATTATATTTTTAATTCTATCACTTTTGCTACCATGCCTCAGAGGGCTAGGAGGTCCCCAAGGATCTTTCATTTATATGGATATCGCATCCAATGCTGGGGGAGAGGGACCTGTTTTCGAGCGGCCCCCCTGCTGTGAGCGATCGAGCTGCCATCAGCTGAGCGAGATTTTGTACCGTGCGGCACAGTATATTTTACAGGCCATGAGAGTATAACTTTCAGGCTTATTATTCTCTTTTCATTACTTGATGCGATTTGCCAAACTGAGAATAAGTATATGATTAATAAATGCAAATTTTTTTTAAGAGTGCTGCGGGTTAAAATGGTATAAATAATAAAAAAGTGAAGTTCAGCAACATAAAACATTATTTTATTTTATAATTTCGATACTATAAAAAGCATTTAAAAAAGACAAATTATGAACTTTTTTTAAACACACAGCATTGTTTGATATATAATATTACATCTCGCACATTTATTTTACATGTCACATTTATTATCATTATAACAGCAAATATAAAATAGGAACTATATATTATTATAAAATTAAATACAAAACAGATTTTAAAATAGGAACTATTAATATAGTATTATAAATATTGAAATATTGAATCATAAATAGTTTTCCTTAAAAATTACATTTGAATTTAAAAAATCAGGCGGTGCTTTAACTAGTGTAATAGCTGTGTTAAAGCAATAAAATTATAATATTCACAACTGAAGTATAAAATTTAAAATTATAACTAAATTATAAAAAAAAACCTGAAGTGGACTATATTAAAATAATATGAGAAAACTATTATTATAACAAAGTAGAATAAGAATCACTGATGCTTGTTAATTATCTGTCGACTATCATGATAACGTGTCGAGGCACCCTTTTTTAAATTTTGAAGACGAATCTCATGGTGAAGTCTCACGCCGAGATAAGTCTGGGACACCGATTTAATGAGGCTGGCAATGTGATTGTCTAGTGGGTCAAGATTTTTAGTGTGCTCATTGAGTTCACTAAATATTGCACTGTCTCCAATGAAAGAATTTGCTACTTTAATGTGGATTTTTGCTTGCAAGAGGTCATTGAAGTTTATGTTTGAATATTGCCGGAACATACTCTCGGTGGTTTTACAAATCCTAACAACACTTTGAGATGGAATTGTGAGATAGCCGCGGCTTTTAGAATTGATAAACGAGTACCTTTCAAGATCACTTTGATTGCCATAAAGGGCAGCAGAGCAATCATCACACTTGGTTAGCAGGCGGAGTTTCCTGGAAACAAATCCTGCAAGGTACTCGGAGATTGAGCCGTGCATCAAATCACTACAAGTCAGTTCAGCATACCCGTGCTCAACCATTAGTTTAATCATAATTCCACTATCTGAAAAAAAAGTGTCATAGTTTTCACAGTGAAAAGGTGCCTCGGCTTCACTATTTTCGTCATGCTCATCACTATTTAAGTCATTTGAGTGGTCCACAGTTCTAGTGGCACTCAATATTGCAATATCAGACTGATTAATAACATTTGCATTGACACTAGCGGTTATTTCATTTTGTACCACTAAGCGTTTATATATCGTGCGACCGTGCGACCCACTGGGCCGGGGAGAGAGGAGCATAGGATGGGTTTGGTTCTTTGGTTGTTGGGAATGTGAAGGATGAGGAAGGTGAGCGGCTGCGGCCTATGAATGGGAACTATGCCGGCATTCGCCTGGAATGTCTGATGGAAACCGCAGAAAACACCAGACTGCATAGCCGAAATTGCAGAGAGGGATGTGAATTGAGCGCCGATTCAAACACATTCAGCGCCAAATGCACGCGTATATTCGATTTTATTGCAAATTATTTTTCTGTGTCTTAAGAATTGTACTATGTTTTGTGTTTTTTTCTTTGTAAAATTGAATAGTGAAATAATGTTATCAAATGATTTTTAACTCATTGAAAAATTGAGTAGAAAAATTGAGTAAAAAATAAAGTTCATTAAACTCACCAATGTGTTTCGGCATTTCCTGAACTTGCCAGATTAGAGATAAAAAAAAGCAAATATTAGTTGAAATCAAACGGCATCAAAAAAAGATAATGGTTTGTAAAGTGACTATGGATAAAAAGTTAATGAACTCTCATTTGAGATGCTTAGTTTAGGAATTTTATTTTTTGATGAGGTAAATATCGTAAAAATAAACAGTCAAATATTTGACTGAGGTGATTTGCTCTTGCGATGTCCTAATTTTTAAAAGATAAACAATCTTTTTTACGAAACGTAACGCATGTTTCCAATCGTCATTTAAATTGGTATAAAAAAACGGTATATAAAGGAAACAAAAGCCCTGCACGAGTCATTGTAAAGAATCATCATCTTTCAAAAATGAAGACTGCCATCATCTCAATTGTTTTGATCTTTGGAGTGCTGCAGGTAAAATATTTTTTTCATAAATTTTAAATTAATCTTATTATAAATAAAATTTAACTTATAATTTTTTCCTAGTTAATTAAATTATTCATTAATTTTCGAAAAATTTATTTTTCATTTTTTTTATATAAAAATAATTTTCATTTCCCACATAGGTATTCTCTGCACCATGTTCCCATCAACTGAATCAATTTACTGCTGATATAGAAAAGGAGAAAAATTTGATTGGAGACATCGCTGCTGCTCGCGAGGCGCTTCGAGAATACAGGTCGACCCTGAGCTCTCTAGGAAAGCAAGTAGCCTCTAGTATAATGGTCATAACAAAAGATACCTACGCATCTTTGAGTGAAATGATAGCCAATCTAAAGCAACAAGGAGTATGCCGGGTATTTTATTGCTGATCATTTTATTGTTAATTATTTTATTTTAAGCTAACACCAGAAGAAGAAGCAAATCTTCAGCAATTCATCAAACAAGCAAAAATTAATATCAATGAAATAGTCAAAATCAATTTCCAAGATCTAAAAGTGATAAGAATGTCAGTGGCAGAAATTTTAGATGATCTAATTTATGACCACTCCGCTATCCCAGCAGACGTAGAAAAATTGAACGCTAATTTAAAAATGTTCCAGGTATTTTATTTAAGGAAATTTATATTCAAATGTGAATATGCTTATTTTTGGTAGGAAAATGTTGTCTCGTCAACCAAAAAAATTCGAAACGAAATCATGATTGTACAGACGGAACTGGTTAAAATTATGAACGCACACGTAAGATTTTTTCGTATATATTTTTTTAGTTTTTGTTACAGCATTGTCATCATTGCAAATGAAAAAATAGTAATTAATCGATTTCTCGCTCCATTTTAGGCACAAGAAATGACCCTCACTATTCTGGAGGGAATGGAAAAAATAAGAAAATCGCTGGTTGAGGAATACAAAGAGGTGAAAGACGAGCTATCAGAAGTCAGAATGGCAGAGGCTGTCGTGATCGAGGCCGTCAAAAAAGTTCTATCTCATTTTGATCCAACTGCACATAATACTATTAAACCAACTAGTGCAACAACTTTTAGCAGCATTACCATGGCACCTTGATGAAGAATTTAATTTGTACTTGTGCTCTTATCTAATTAATCTAGACTCTGTAATTATCATAATTATAATTCACAAGAATCAAAATGTGATTTATATAAAAATTTGTAAGATAAAAAAAATAAACTGATTATTCTCGGTAACCAATTTACCGCAATTTACAAACTCAATCCGCTCAATCCATTGGATTTGTACTGCACGCATGTTTCGCGCCATTTCGTATCAAAATGATTGAAGTGCGCATAGCTGCGCGCAACATCTGCCCTCATGTTTTGATCACTTCTGCAGACATGACCGGAGTCTGCAGAATATCGCGAATTTTGGCCACAAATTCACATAACTTGGCCCCATTTTCGAGTGGCAACGTGTTCTCGATACGCCTCAGCAGCAGGTGCCTCTCCTGCGCCAGGAACAGCAGTTCCCTCGCCTGGAGAAAACGAGCGATTCTTCTCGCACCCTGCGCTCGTAAGTTTTTTTTCGTGTCATGAATGCAAGACAATTAGAAGAAATAATTAATTCACGGCTCTTACATTTCAGAATCAAGTCAGCAATACCGGTTATTCCACAAGTCAAACAGCTTCAATGCGGCTAAAAAGGATTATTACCAAATATTAGGCGTCGCCCGCAATTCCAGTCCAAAGGACATCAAAAAAGCTTATTATCAACTAGCCAAAAAGTTCCACCCAGACACAAACAAAGGCGATCCTGACTCTGGAAAAAAATTTCAGGAAGTCTCCGAAGCTTACGAGGTATTTTGTTATTCCCTGACCAAAATATGCTATAAAAAAATTTAAAAAATAAATTTTTAAATTTCAAAATGATTTTCATTTTCAGGTTTTAAGTGACGAAACCAAGAGGAAAGAGTATGACACGTGGGGATCGACCTCCGAGCAAATGGGCATGGGTGGAGGTGGCCCCAGACCAGGAAGAGGGTCGACAGGCATGGGACAAGGTTATGGTGGCGGATGGAACTTTACGTCCAACGTCGATCCCGAAGAGTTGTTCCGCAAAATTTTTGGAGAGGCTGGATTTAAGACTGGCTTTGGCGACTATGAAGATTTTGCAGAGTCGCACTTTGGATATGGAGCAGCTCAAGAAGTATGATTTTCACTGTCATGCAGATTTTATTATTTATTAAAATATTAAAATGGAATAGTCAAACTTCTCAATCATTAGCTCATGTTTTTAATATTATGACTTTCTCAAGCATTGAAATTATGTTCCAGGTTATAATGAATTTGACATTCTCGCAAGCTGCACGAGGAGTAAACAAAGACATTAATGTGAATGTCGTCGACACTTGCCCCAAGTGCAGTGGATCCAAGTGCGAGCTCGGCACAAAAGCCATCGAGTGTCCAACGTGTAATGGGTCTGGAATGGAGACTGTTAGCACTGGTACAATTCAATTTCCAGTTCAATTCAGAGTATTTCACCAGACATTATGAACAGGTCCTTTTGTGATGCGAACAACGTGTAGGCAGTGTCATGGTACTAGGAAGTTCATTAAATTCCCTTGCATTGAATGCCACGGAAAGGGAAATACGGTGCAGAGGAAAAGAGTGACAGTTCCAGTACCCGCAGGTAATTATTTTGTCTGGCTTAAATAATAGAGCATCATGGCGTAATTTTTCTATGGTATTACGTCATCCCAAGAATTAAGTTAAATTAAACATTTAAAATAGATAAATTTGATATTACGATGCTCTCTTATTATTCAAGGCATTGAAGATGGCCAAACTGTCAGGATGCCTGTTGGGAAGAAAGAAGTTTTCATTACCTTCCGTGTTGAAAAGTCTGACTACTTTAGAAGAGATGGTTCGGACATTCACACAGACGCAAATATTTCCCTCTCACAAGCAGCGCTAGGAGGGACAATACGTGTGCAAGGCATTTATGAAGACCAGACTATTCAAGTAAATTTTGCTTTTAGCGTTGAAAAATAATTCTAAATTAAACAAAATTACCAGATCATGCCAGGAACCTCTTCGCACACAAGAGTTCGTCTGACAGGCAAAGGCTTGAAGAAAGTTAATGCATACGGCTATGGAGACCACTACATCCATTTGAAAATTAAAATTCCTCGCAGTCTCAATCAGAAGCAAAAAGCTTTGCTTTTAGCTTACGCAGAAATTGAAGACGACACCCCTGGCGTCGTTCACGGAATCATGCAACAAAATGAAGGTAAGGAGGTTTTTGTTTATTTTAGTTTATAATTAGAAAATGGCCTCTGTCTTGCTCATGGACTGTGTCTCAAATTTTTAGGTGAAAAAAAGAAAGACACTCCCATGGCAGGATCAGAGGACCAGCAAGAGGCTTCTAAAGAGGAGGGTGGATTTTTGAGCAAAATTAAGAAAGCCATTTTTGGCTGAGTAAATGCAAATTAGTCTTGAGGTGCAGCTCTCGCATTAATTCTAGAGGATAAATCTTAATTTATTCTTTCTTGCCTTCAGGCCCAAAAACTTGTGTGGACGACTCAAAAGGAATGGTTTCAAGCGTGCGGGACGCGCTTAACAAGGAGGATACGATAAAATCTGTAGACCCCCAGTCTGACGACGAAGAAACCAAAAGGGAAAAGGTCCCTTAAAATACCACTCTGGTTTTTAAAGTGATAGGGTTATATTGTAATTCCACACAGCCTCTATAGTGTTAAACAATAAATAAAAGTATGTTAACGATTTAACAAAAACCGAGCTTTTAATTTCATTTCAAGGAATTCTAACAACAAAGCAAAATTTTATCAATCAACACAGCCTTGCACATATATTTAAAACACAAAAGCAGTGCTAGAAAAAAACGTATTTAGGTCAATGTTTCGTAAAATTCGCCCATAACGGACATTCTTTGCAAAAATGGTTGGGCCGGGCAATACAATAATTTAAAATCGGTACTCCACGTAGCGTTCAAATCATATCTTCTGTTTGCCCTCAGTCTTTCAAGCATTGCTTGAGGATCAAATTGCTTCGTGGACAAAAACTGCTTCACAAAAGTTGGCAATGTGAAACCGCTGTCCGCACTGGCTGAACTCTCAGTCGATATGTCAAGCAGCTCTTGTTCGTTTCGGTAAGCAGCGTTGCTCTTCTCGCTGCCAGAAAAGCTTGGCCGCGTGTCCGATTGGGGGGAAATTGTTGAAGGGGAAGATGAGTCAACATCCATAATCTCTTTCTTCTTGCGTCTGTACTCGGACTGAACAAGCTCAACTGTTCCAACGCCTGTGATGTCTCCATCAATGTGGCCGCTCAAGTTGCTGTGAGGTTTCAACGTGGTTGTCGTTGCAGGAACCTTGACAACCAACGAATCTTCCACTTCCGACTCTTGATGCTGGAAACTCTTGAGCTCGGCAGTTGTGGTTTGCTGTTTGATCGATGGACTAGTTGGTGGTGGAGGAGTAGGAATGTAAATCATTTTATTTTCGCTCTGCTTGAGCTTTTGAGGGGGTCGAGCAGTACGCTTCTGAAGGCGTTCTCCACGCAAGCTGCTGAACACCTCGGGATCTAAACTTGCAAGAAGCTGAGACTGAACATGAGCTTTGAAATCAGTGTCCCTCTGTCCAGTACAACACTGGAGGGCACCAGGATCAATTGGATGAGCCTCTGTGAGAAAAAAAATATTAAATTATGTATTTTTTTCTTTTATTATTTACTTTGCAAATAAAAGCTTACCAGTGTTGAAGATATAATTTCCAGTTTCTATAGCACATTCTCCCCAAGGTGTGCTTATGAGTTTTCCTTGGCCCCCATTGTTGTGGATAAAGTTATCAGTGTCAAAAAGGAGATAAAGGTACTTTGTCGTCTCTGCCAAGAAAAATGACTCCATTCTATTTTCTTTTCGATGGTCCCTTACATCTTTAATCTATTTTAGATGTTGGTTGAATAAACGATTAATAATATATTTAAAAATATAAAGGTACCGTTGCATAGCCACAGTTGGTCTTAGAGCTGAATTGGATGCTCCTCAAAATATCAACCCCCACATCTAGAAGATAAGGGTCTCTAGTTGCTCTGTAGAGGTACATGACGGACTCTATGAGCTCTGGCCGCAGCGGATAAGATTCTCGATTAGTCCCTGCCTCTCCCTGATTAGTTTTTAATTATAAAAATGAATGATTATTCAATATTTCTTATTTTTCATCCTTGCCTGTGGAATGTTGTAGAATTCTGGAGTGAATCCATATTGCTTCCAAACCTGGTGATAATTGTGCAACGATCTCATTCCACTATTAATATCACCTTAATTGATCACATAAATAGAAGACGTATAAAAAAAGATTTGCATTTTGCATACCAATCAAGCTTAGCAGACCAGGCCAATATGCCTCAAGACTCTGGAAAACTGGCAGTGTGACTTGTCCTTTGTGCATGGATACCCAAAGGTGCCAGTCGTCCCTTTTCAGATACTTGTTGATGGCTTCCCTTCCTTCGTGAAAGACCTTGAGCAGCTCAGGCTTTTGTAATAAAGCTGCTCCTTTAACTAGATACTCGTAATAAGAATCAACTCCAGCACCAATTCCTGCGTCTTGTGCTGTCCACCTCCCAGTCAGTATGTCGATGTGATTACCCATAAGGCCAATGTTGGACCTTTTTTAATTCATTAATTTTAGATAAAGAATCCCATTTAATTTTATCACTACCTGTGATGGTAAAGAGCATTAATAGCTTTCATTGCAACTTCTTCGTAAAGCGGATCTCCAGTTAGTCGAGAAAGGGCACCGAACTCTACGATGAACGTTCCAACTCCAGCCGTACAAGTGATGGGGGTCTCTCCTTCGGGAACTCCATGTCGAAGGTTGACAGTCCCATAGGGCATGCCAGTTGGAGTGTCAAAAGCAGCAATCAGCCTCTTTGCTACGTCCTCAGCTAGACGCAACAAAGGACCGTTGCAAGGCCACCCTGGCTCTAAGTCAACTCCAGCTCTAAATTCAAATTTTTGTAAAATAATTTTAGATGTAATTAATTTTGCGTTTAAAACCTGTGAGACATTAGATGGGCGCTCAAAAGTCCTCCGACAATTCGAATGTTGGTCTCGAAAACGGACACATTGATGTTCCCATCGAAGTTTGCTGTGGACGCCAGCAATTCTGCAACTCTCCTGAATTCGGTGTAATTTCCCACAACAGCCAGTGTGTCCAGAGCATCAATTAGCGTTAATGAGTAACTGAAATGAGGAAAATATACAAATTACAAGCCGTCAAAATTATATTTTATTGCATAATTAATAAATAATTATTCATATGAATAATTTGCTATTGACTTCTAGTTTTTTTACCTGCCCCACGTATCAATCCCATCGCAGGTCAATGGTCGCAGTTCATCGTAGGGGTAGGCATATTTTAAATATCCATCGTAAGCATGTTGAAACATCTGACGGACTTCCTCTCTAAAGGAAAAGATAAAATCAATTATTTAAAACATACAAAAAATAAAATAATATTACTTTAAACTGTCTAGATCACTTTTATCATATTTTCTGATTCCTACGCAAAAATGACTTAAAATCAAGAGAGCAAAAGTGGCAGTTCCAATTCCCCGGCCGAACAGCATGACTATTTTTTGTTTTTTTTAAACTTTGTGGCCTCCCAAAGAAAAATATGAGGCTAATTTTGATGAAACATAGCCGTCTTCCGGTTCAGAATTTTTGTCTCACATGGCCCATCATAAAATCTACTAGCGTTGCGGCAAATTGAATTAAAATCCTGGAATTTGATGAAAGCACACTAATTAAAAGATCACAAAAACACGTATTTTCATTACGCCCCCTTTTCTATTTTCAATTTCTGCCACAAGGGCAGCAGCATCGCATTTGTTGTTGGACGTCGTGGATCTCGTGGAAATTTCTGCAAAATCCACTTTCTCTGGGCGAAAAGCAGCCAAATTCGATAACTAGCATTTTAGAACTCTTTATAAAAATACTTTTTATTTAAAGCGCCCTTTTCTAATTTTACCTGCACTGAAAAAAATGGCGTAAGTATAATTTTATCTTAAATTCGCTACAAAGTTTCAATCCGGCCATATGGTTGGCGTGTGTCATTAATTTATATTTTTTTTTCAGTGCGCCGAAGGTTACGTTTAAGATCACGCTGACCTCTGACCCAAAACTGCCATTCAAAGTGTAAGTGGCCCAGAGAAAAATGCACTTTTTAGTACCTTGCAGACCATTTTTCACACGCTTTTAAATCTTTGGAGTCTCAATTTGCAAACTTTTACTTTTTTTATAAGCTGATTTTATGTCAAAGAAAAATGGAGAGTCTCTTCGACGGATGCGACAACTTCGTCAAGTTCCTGCACAACAAGCAGTGGATCGCCGAGAGCGACGACAAGCGAGCGGCCATCCAGAGAGGTCTGCAATGGGCCAGTTTTGTCGAAGCCATGCTCGCTAAGCTCCAAGCTGAAGACCTGGTCGATGAGTTTGCTCAGAAGTACACAGACTGGAGGGCGGCAATGGGCCTTCCTGCGCTCAAGTTTGCTGGGTTCAGATTTGCTTGCGACGAGTTGATTGGCAACATCATTATGGAACACATCGAGGACGAGGAGACGGTCTTCGTGGCGTTCGAAGAGTACCTGCATGTGTGCGGTGGGCGCCGGACAATGGACTTCATCAAACGTTTCTCAAATGAGTGTCTCCTGCTCAAAATGTTCACCATGTTCATTTGCAACAAGAAGCACTACCCGGACGCAGCGACCCAGGGTCGGCTGTCGAAAGCAGTTTGGTACGACACTGTGACCAAAATTTTGCCCCAGGAGGTGATGCAGGACAAAGATGCCTGGCGCGCCCATATTGAGGAACTCATATCCAGCAGAGTTGGTGTCGAGTCTTTAATTTTTCTTAACATCATGCCCGAGCAGCATTTCCAAACCGTCCAGACCTTGATTTTGGAGAAGTTCCAAGGAAACCTGTTGATCGACGGTGTCTCGACGTCCGCAAGCATCGGACAGTTTTGGCAAAACTTTATTAACTGTGATTTTACACTGCTTCTATTGCTGTTCCAAAGGTGCAGCGAGTTTTTCGAAGAGTTCTTTGAGTTTTTTCTGGTGTTTGCTAATGAAATTCATTATGACGAAGATCAACAACTATGGGCCTCAAAAAATTGGCTGACTTTTGAAGATGTTGTTCGGATGATAAAATCTTTGACCACTTGCGCAGACGAAGGTCTGAGAAGTTATGTAGAACACATTGTTTCGAGTATGGACGACAAGCCTTTGTGGCAGGCTGTGAAAAGTAAAATTAAAGATTCCTCTTAATTAGTTATTCGTGTGAAAAATGGTATGACAGGTCTGAAGTTGAGGAGAGGAGCGTCGATTGAAAATTTTAGGTAAGATGTCGTTCCTCTTCCTAGGACTTCTTTCCTGTAGGCTTGTTAGAAAAATATTAAAAAAGAATTTTGTGAAATAAAATTAATTTGAACTTTTGTGTTGCAGACTGAGTGTGCCTGAAAACACCCCCTTCACTGCAGTGTTGAAGTTTGCGGCAGAGGAATTTAAAGTTCCGCCTGCAACGTCTGCCATAATCACTGACGATGGTATTGGAATAAATCCTCAACAAACCGCAGGCATGTTTTATATTTTCATGAAATTGCGGTCATCGTAATATGAATCTCAATTCTTAGGTACTGTGTTTTTGAAACATGGCTCTGAACTACGACTGATTCCACGCGACCGAGTTGGGTCCTGCCAGACGAGATGATTTCTTCGATTTTGAAATTTTTATCTTCGCCTTGGACCGAACATTGACCTGCGATAAGCTCTTGCAATTAAAATTTTGAATAATTTGCACTGGTGCCAAGACAGTTTTGTAACAACCTCTCTAATGCGTGTCAGCTGCATCTTATTTATTTATGGCGCATTCCCTTCAAACAATCTCTGTTGCCGCCTCTTGTTGTTTGTCCTTATTTTATAAATTCTATTATTTTGCAAACTGATCAGTTTTATTATCAATAAAAAAATAAATGCAGAAGTAATTACTTCGTCTCATTTTCATGCAATTTTCTACAGCAACTGCTTACTTTTTAAATAGGATAAATTCATACAATTTTTGTGTGTTTGAATTGATTTTACAACTTTTTATTGACTTTCTCTTCGTGATAATCAGTACAGTATGGAATGCACCATGTAAATTGTACACCTTTGCTGCTACATAAGACAGTAATGAAATGCAGTCCTAAATTCTAAACCTTTAACAAAGAATAGCACTCGCTTCTCTGTGCAATAATAATAATAATGGAGAATTAAAACATTTTTTTTTCGGTCTTTTCTATTTCAAAAATCGATCAATATTTTCGTTAAGTACGATACTAATCCAAAAATAAAATCAGTTATAGAACAGGAAGCTTTGAATTAAGGGAAGGAATAATTAAGAGTCCTGCAGTTCCTTGTCCAGCATGTAGACACCAAGACCATCACCGACCCTGTTGACGTTGGTGATCAGGTCTGAGATCTGCTTCATTGCTTCCACTTGCTCCTTCAGGTACTCGGACTCGATGAAGTCGCAGAACTGAGGGTCGTTGCAATCAGTGGCAGTCTTGTGCAGATCCAGAAGCGCCTGGTTCACCTAAAAATTAAAAGAATTTATATATAATAAATTAACAAATTTAATTTTCTAATTTTTACCTTCTTCTCAAGGAACAGGGCAAACTGAAGGGCCAGCAGGGGCGAGCTGTAGTTGGCCTGGGCAGGAGGATCTTCAATGCCCTTCATCACCAGTCGGCCGCCCCTCATGCTGAGGTACTTGATGAATTTCTCGCCGTGCTCGCGCTCCTCGTCGCTGTTCTTCTTGAAGAAATTGTGGAAGCCTTTCAAGGCTACATCATCCTGGTCGAAGTACGACGCCTGCAAGGGTCAACAATGTGATTATTCAGCGTTTTTGATTAGATAACATGTGAGATGAGAATGTCTACTGGCCAAAAATGGGGGAGCCCGAGTGGATGGTTATAAATTTAAGTGTTTATCTGCTCAAATTGCTCCGAGGGGAATTTTGGAAGTAAACAGGTAAAAGTTGTTGAATATATTTAAACACCATAATGTAATTTCATGTTCGGTAAAAAAAAATATTTTTCACTAGGGAAAATGGGCTTTATTCTTGTTGGAATTTGGAACCAAGATTTGTGAGACAAAAAAAATCACTAAAAATATTTAAAAAAAAATATATAAGAAAATTGTATTCTAAGATTGTATTTTACATATAACTAGTTTGTCATTATTCATAATTTTCTATGGTGTTTAACTAACCTTGAGACCTGTTTTATCAATATATTAAATTTACACCAGTTTCTTCAAATTTTTTATAAGAGTAGAATTTGATTAAAACTAATAATTTTCTCGTCAAAGATTTTTTTTAAATTACAATTTGTTGTTTTTCACTCTATGATTGTCTCCTCAATTGTCCACTTCTCTCAATTTCAGTATAATTTTTGTTTCTATTTCATTTTAGGCTATTTAGCGTAGATTAGAAAGTGAAAGGCAGGCGCAAAATTTAGAACTGGGTTCACCAGAGTCAGCAGCTTTTAGCCTGTATCGTCGCATTGTTTGCTTGTTTTGCCGAGCTGCAATTTTTTTTCTAGGTCAAGGTGTGAATAAACTGAACTGCTGTTTCTGCGGTGTGCGTGAAATGGAAATAAAATACATGAAAAGTTATCTTCCAACATTGATGTTGAATAATTTTCTCTTGAGAGTTTTGTTTTTCCACTCACTAGAGCGTGTGATAAATCGTAACGCTAATAATAGGAAATGACGAGCACCACACACACTCATGCTTTTACGAAACCCGCGACTCGTCCTACCAGATTGAAAATAATTGTTTTCCTTGAACGTGTGTAAAACAATTTGAACTCTAAGAAGATTACTTATAAGTACCATACCAATGGACATTCAGCTTGCAATTATAAATCTATGTACGTAAATTTCAATCATTATTTATTTTAAATTATAACATAAATATATTCATGAGCACCAAGTATAATTAAAAATAAAAGAAAATTTAATTCGTGGCATTGAAATTTCAGTTCAAGTGAGCAGAAAATTATGCCGTGGCCTTTAAACATTAAAATTAATTTGTTAGTTCAAATTCAGCGGAAACGCGCAGTTTAGTCAATGTTGGTTCCCACTTTTGTTGGTACATCCAACATTTTTGCCCCCTCACCCCCCTGTCGGATCACGAACGACGCAGTTTCGGGACGTAAACACAACCATATGATCGCGACCAAAATAATATCGACCGCCGCGACTGGAACATTCTATAATCATCTCCTATCTTATCTGAAATGACGAAATTTATCTCAAAATTTTCAGCTCAACTTAAGAAGTGGTCCAAATGTCAAAATTGAGTTGATTTAAAAAAAAATTGAAGTTATATAATAGACAATCAGAGTGATTTTGAACGCAATTCTCCGGCGAAATCAATAAAATTTTTCTAGGAAACCACCCGGATCACGCAGAATGGGCATTGGCGCGGGGAATTTCGCAAGGTTTGCTCGAGGTCAGCGACCTTGGGGCAAATAATGGATGGGCAAAGGAAAGGAAAAGCGAATTGAACTCACGATGGTCAGATAAACGTGGCTGGCGTACAACTCGAGGTTGATCTGCTTGTTCAGGGCGTTCTCCACCTCGACGTGGAAGTTCTGTCGGCACGCGGAAGTCGAAGCCATGCTGATGGATATCAATTGAAACGGGGTTTTCGGCAAAAATCTGTTTTAGCGGTTGTACGATCACTCCCTGGCGACGCAGTACAACTCGGCAACAACATGGGAGATTCCTTTTTATAGCAGGCGCCGAGCCGCGACGCTGATTGGTCGAGACGCCCCTCCGCCGTCTGCAGCGTGCTGCTGGTGCACACGGCCGTCGTGTGCACCACCGCAACATGCAACAAAGGCAGGCACCCTGCGATTATTGTGAGCAAAATATATGCGCCGAGTGCAAAATCGCGCCAACTGCGCGAGTGAGTCGCCAAATTGCCGTAAACACACACTAATTACATTTTATTTTGCAAGAATTGTTCGTGTGTCGTCGTCGGTAAAATTGATAATAATTATGAATTAATTATTGCAGTGAATAAACATTTTTTGAGGTGCTTTTTTAAATCCTTTTATAAAACCAGGGAATTAATGTAGAATATTAATTTATTGTTAATTTGGGTAAATTTAATGATTATTTACTTGAGAAGTTACCTCTGGGTGAAAAAAAATTATATTAAAAACTTTAAATTAAAATTTACCATTTTTTTTATTAAACAATTTATTATTATTTAATATTTTATTTCATTATAAAATCAAAATTTCAAATTTGTTTTAATTTAATGCTATATTTCGAGTTACAATTTTTAAAATTAATTTTTTTTTGTTTTGTTGTTTTCTTTAAAAAAAGCTTCAAATCGAAATTTACAATAATTGGTTTTCTTATTATAAATCATTTTTTATTTAATGTTAAATTAAATTAGAAAACAATAATAAAAGTTTTGATTTTTTTTTTAATTTCATTTTTATAATTCTGGTTACAATTTGTAAAATTAATTATTTTTCGTAATTTGATAATTAATCTTTCTTCTTCTCTTTAATTTTAATGATAGAATTATTATTATACTCTTTACTGTGTTCTGTACAGACGCACTGTCGCACTTAAAAAATAAGCTCTTAATTTCTGTGAATGACATTGTATCTTATGTATCGTAAAATTAATGTGTCATCCTGAAAATAAGTTTACATAATTATTGTTTTACTAAAATATCAATAATTTTTTCACAATCAAATAACATTATATTTTGGTTGATTTTCTGTACTAAATAATAATTACAAGTGATGCAAGTTTTATTTTTAAAAGGGAAATCTTTATATAATTTTGTGATTTTCAGCCCATATAAATTATCAAAGCTTTAAACCTAGACTTAAACGTCATGAGAAACAGACGAGAAATCTCCATCTCGCTAATAAAACCTTATCTTTGCTACACGACTTCTGGAATTTGTATTATTGCAATATACATCATAAAAGCAAAAGTAAATGACGTGCCAATTGTTTTGCAGTGCAACGAGGCGCGCAGTCCGTGCACTTGGAAGAAATTCACAATGCGCGGATGCATTTTAATTAAATGTGCCATTAGTCATTAATTAGTCCGCCTTTAAATGACTCTTTGTGTTTTGCTGTGGTGCAGGAAATTCCTTCCAGAAAGTGATAACCCTGTGTATTGCGGATGACCTAAACCCACGCAATAAAATAAACCATCACTTGTATGTATATTTTATCACGTGACTAGTGACTAGCATAAATGATTCACTGCAAGTCAATTAAGAAATCCACACTTTTCTCTATGCTTGATTATTATATAACGTCATGAAAACGCAGTACCATTCATTTTTAACTCAATAGATGAAATTTAAGGAGTTTTTCTGTACATAGTGACCGAGAAGAATATTATTATAAATAATTATAATAAATAATAAATTATAGTAAAAATAATTTGATAATTCATCATTTTTTAAGCAATAAAATTAATTTTTATGTAGTAATTTCAAACAATTTATGAACAAATTATTTCTGGACCAGTTAATTGTGGACAAAATAGTTCGATTTTTTTTTTAAATTAATAATTATCAATAATACACATAACGCATTATAATACAGTGCCATGAAGAAGAGCAAAAAAAAATGCATTGTTGGGCTACAAAAGACGAAACAGGATGTTGTGCGCTTTGCATCACAGATGGCGGGTAAATTGTTATCCCAACACGAGTAACTCGCATAAGGCACAGGCACAAGGATAAACCCTTTCATTTTTGTAAACTTTTCGCAAATAATTAATCATGTAAAACTATCCAATTTCTCCTAGTTTTCTATATATTTTATTTTTATTTTTGAACTCGAAAGAATGCATCAAAATCTAATACTTTGTATGGTGGGGAGAAAAGTTTTGTGAATGAACATTTGCTGGCGTGTTTGATCGTGTTTCGTGCAGCAACGGGAACGGGGCATGCTCCCTCGGCCGCTCTTCTGTGAGGCACAAGCGCACAGAATGCCGCGCCAAAAGGGTCCTCACCATTCAGTCTTCGTCCTCAAGCAGTTGCATCTCAGTGCTCGCCTCATCTTTCGCCAAAACACATCCTCAGCTTGAAACTACCTGCAAGGTAAGTGAAAAATCAAAAATTCTTTTACGGAAATTATCGAAAAAAATTCCATTCCAACCTCATTTGCGTGAAATGAATTCCTTTCCGTGGAATAGAACCGTAAATTCTTGGAAGAAGTTTTGGTCCATGGAATGGAAATTCCGTGCAGCATATCTTTTCCTGGAATGGAAATCCTTATATTATATCTTGAATAAAAAATTTCAGTTCATGGAATGGAATAGAATTTTATGTCTTTTTATGGGTTGGTAATTTTTATGCACCGAGGAGAACGGAATTAAAAAAAATCTAAATTATTCACATTTTCAATTAAGATTTGTGTCAGTTTCAATCTGCTACGTTTTTTATGCAAATTATATTATATAAAACATATTATTTGAATGAATTATTGATAACGTTTTTTATTGTGTGAGAGAAAAATAAGTTTCGTTTATGATGTGGATTCACTGGGAAGGCCATGTCATGTCTCTCTTTACGTCCGGCGTTTTAGCAGACCCTCTGATATTTAAAGTTTTACTGACACCTTTTCTGTTCAATTTTCAGTTTTCACTTTGCAAATTTTTTATAATGACTTGAGTAGAATATAAAAAATTATACCATGATTGTAGCAATTATCACAGGATTTTTATTATAATTTATTTTAAATTTAATTTTCAAAAAGGAAAATTGCTCTTCATTAAAAAAATATTTCCTAAAAAACTTTTAAATACAAAACGGGAAAATAATTTATGCCATAACAGTTTAGTACGTACTGTCGAAAAAATTGAACACAAAATAAAATCACGATTTTTGAAAACATGAGATTGTGCACAATTCCAAAAACTGCAACACTAGATTTTGTGAAAATATGCATAAACATTTTTTTATTCATTATTTATTATGTGTTTTAACTTCAATCGCAGTTTTATGTTCCGAAGGTAGAAGGTTTGAATTTCATGAACCTAACCTTTTTCAATATTAACTCTCACAATGAGTGGTATCTTTTGGTAATTTCAAATTATCGACTAGTTTATGTTTCACACTTTTTATACCCGCTCTTCCTTATTACTTATTACTCTAAATTGAATTTTTTTTATTTTTAATTAATTTATAGTTTTAACGGACAATTTCGAATAATTATGAAAATAATTTCAACAAACGGAATTTTCCCTTGACTCTTCAGTATTAATATTCAAAATCAAGTTTAATTGAATTGTGTTTTTAGCTGTAGGGAAGCAGAGGGAAGTAAATTCAAGACAGTCAGAGCAGAGGGTCTTTTGATAAAATCATAGAAATAAAAATCCGTATAAGATATTCAAAACATTTTTTTATATATTTGAAATATAAGTGATATAATTTTATATTCAATTTTAAAAATTCTTTTTTCCTGTGGTTAAGGAGACAATGCTGGTTTTTTTTTACTTTATTACTGTTCAGTTTTTTTTTCACTTTCAATCGGCTATTTTATCTTGAAATGCGACGGCAAAATAAATGAAGACGAGCTAATTTAAATTAGTAAATATTTTTATGATTTCTTTAATAATAATTGCTACCGCAACAAGGATTAGATAAATTAATGTCATAGCAATTAACGGGGTATTAATTTTAATAAATAATCCTGAAAATCCATAAATAATAATTTTTTTGTTCAGTTAACGATCGCATGCTGTGCTAGAATATTTTAATATGGCTCTGGCTAAGATTTTATTAATTGTAAAATATAAATTATGGGCAAAAAATAAATGTCTAATGAATGGAATTTATATCAAACTAGCGCAATACATATGGGTGAAATTTATCGTCAGACATGTTACGAAACAAACAATTAGCAAAGCTGCAATTTATCAGGCAATCAGGTGCACATTTTGCATACCTTGGGGGATGAATTGGTAACATAAATATAAAGGAATCTGCGGTATAATCTCATTGAAGCATGAATAAATGTTTGCTGAATGTGGAGCGCGCTCGTACAAAAGGCACAGAGATCAAATCATTGCTAGCCACGAAAACCACGCCGTTTTTATAATTGAACGTGAATCCTTTCATGCAGCTGCTCGGCATCACAGTTTTTTTCTCCGACAAGCGGGCAATAAATTTGACGAGTGAGTTGCTCTTTGAAATATTCTGCCAACTCTCCATTTGCAAATAAAAACAAACTCGCAGTTTAAGTATTAAAAGAATTTTTTTTTGCTTAACGTTGCACTGCACAGTCGACCTTTTAATCTACCATTTTTTGTGCATCAGTTAGTCATGAAAATAAAAAGTACAACGTTTGCTTCGTTAATAATCTTCTTGCGCTGGAAAATGCCTCCAACGTCACGAGTAAAGGGTAATTGCAACTTTACATGCACTGCACGTTGCAGAATTTAAAGTGGATATCTGTTCTATCAACCCCCTTTTTTTAGGGAATGTACCACAGCTGCATAATACATGCAGATTGAGAGTGCTTTGTAACTACAGCTTGCTTCACACAAAAGTACACCTGCACGGAACAAATGGGTGATTTGCATTTTGTTCTTGGAATACACCAGAAAAGACTTGCTACAGGAGCGTTTATTATTATTGTTAAGTATTTTTACTTTGAAATAGAATGTCTGCAAAACTAAAAAGTGAAAAGCTCGGATTTCCTTTTTCGTTTATGAATTTAAAAAAAACGCACTAAAATTTAAGCGCCGCTTTTAGCCTTTGGATATGTTAAAAAAACCATCTTTGTTTTTAGTTTTCTTGGAACTCGTTTGACAAATATATTTACCTACGCGGAATTTACTGCAAGTGACACAATTTGCTACAAATTGTGCCTGCTACTTTATCAAACTTTTCCATGTTCTATTTTCATCTGGAGAAAACCTTTTGGAAAATAAGTTTCCAACTCACAGGAGTTAGTTGAGTTTGTCGCGAACTTCACTTGCCTCTGGCTTAATTGCAACTAGCGTGCATTTTATAAGAAGGAGAGCAATAAATTTACCAGGTAATGAAACAACAAAGTTTTGAACATTAATTAACATATCGCCTTAAGAAATGTGGATCTGTTTAATTTAAATGTAGGTCGGAGGTAAATCGTAAATCTATGGATTGGTGACAAATTTGCTTTTATTTTCAATTGAAGGTGGTAATGTATCGATTAGTTGGAACAAATTTGATATGCAATTAAAACAACTAGGTTGAGAAGCGTAAAAAATTTACTGATATTTCAAATAAATGTATATTATTTTAATTGTATTCCTAGAAGGAACTTTTCCCTGATATTCTTATTTAAAAAAAAAAGAAAAGGAATTATTTTTCATGTTGAATATTATTTTAAAATAAACATTTTAATTTTATTATAAGCATTTTTTTTTCAAGATTCATTTTTGCACGTGTTAATACGCACTAATGAAAATGAAAGCTCTTTATTTCATGTTTTGAAAACTTTTGTAAACATACAGATGTCTGCTTTGAAATGATGCTGTTAAAATTCCCAAAAAAGCAGCTGCGCTTCCTCTCACACGCGAAATTAATTCTGCCGCGCTTTGAATTCACACAACTGCACCATCTGTATATGTGACGTGTTAAATGTGAGCGCTGATTTAAAATCCACAAAAGCCTGATAAATATTTCTGGCCATCACGCCAGTTGGAAATTGCTCGAAAACAAGCAGACCATGCTGAAATAATGCACTTTGAATTGGGAAAACGGCATCAAAGGGTGCCTCAGGCTTTCCCCATCAGAGCCAAGTCAAGCATGATGAATCATTGTTCCAATCCAAAGCGTTCACATAATATTCATACCGGTGAGCTGAGTGAGCCGAGAGAATCAGACACAAACACAATAGGATGGAGAGGCGCTCTTTGAGTTTTTCTCTCAACTATTATCTGGAGGAAAGGCGTCCTACTTCGCAGGGCGCTTTGTGTTTTGCATTTCAATCCCCTGGACGCCGCCCCGCATGGCCAGTGCTGAAACTATTCGCAATTTTTCTTTTTGGTCGTGTAAAAGCCATCAAAAGCTCTGGCGCTGGAATAATTATTTTTTGCTTTTGTGCTTTTGCCTCTCCCTTTTCTCGCGCTTCTGTGCGAAGCGAAATATGTATTTTGCTATGTAATACATGCGGCCCTTGTGAAAAAGTACTGTAGTGCGGAAAGGGCAGTCGGAACGGTGCCACGCAGTGCCGCGGCCAACTTTAATTAAAATAACTACGACGACAAAACTGGCTTTTATGGCACTCGCACTATGTATTTAATATTCCGTTTGCCAGAACATTTTCCTGTTATTCAAAGTGCAGAAAATTATAGCCTATTAATTATTCAGGTTTTTCTCATTCTGCGCTTTTTGATCATAAATTTTCACTGCTAAATTAAATATATAAAAATTGATAGAAAAAGAGCAAGAATGTGAAAAAGTAGAATTCAATTTCTCTCCCAGAATTTAGTAAAACGAATTTTCTTGATTAAATCTAATCTTTTTAATTAATTTAATTACCAAGGGTTATTTTACCAAAAATTTACAAATTTAATTTTGTCTTGGAAGGCATTTTGACGAGCAAACAAAAACTCTTTTCCCTGACAAAAATCTGATCAACGAAGTGTTTGAAACTAGAATTTTAAGCTTAATTTAGCAAAAGTAATGTCAGTAAATTAATTTTAAAAATCTAATTTTACAAGGCACAGAGTATATATTAATAATATATATTTTTTTGTCATTAACCACCGTTTAAAACTGTTTAAAATTAAATTATTAGGCTAATTGTAAGTCTTGAACAAAATTAACTTTTTTCAATACAAAACTTCAAAGCAAAAAAGGGTCGTAGAATAAATTTTTTCAACAGAAAATTTAGTGAGGAATTTAAAATGCAGTTTTTGGTATTTTAAAGTAAATTTTTTTAAGGCAATACATTCACAATACAATTATTTGATAGAGCGATTAAAAGAAAACTAATAAAAATTGAGGCAATCAAGTACTCGTTCATGTGTTGCCTCTCCTATATAAGGAAAATCTGTACGCGCCACAAATTATCTACTGTTCCAGTTCCACATTCATTACATTCCAAAGCAGAGCCAGTTGGTTGACCTAATCTAATAATATAACTCTCTCTTGTGCACTGCAAGTTTCATGCCAGCTTGCCCGTTTTCTGCTCTTCGCAAAAAATTTCCCCCAGAGCTTCTATCTCAAATTGGCTTTACTACCGCTGCAGAGGATCTAATCGGTTTTGTCCTTGCACGCCAGTTTACCTCGCGCGTGCATCAACGTCCTTGCGCAGGTAAAAAGCGGAAAAAAGTGCATTCATATCGCACTTTAAGAGACTGCAAAATGGAAACGGGAACAACTTTTTACAAACTCGTTTTGCACGCGCGAAAGGAATCCATTTTATCGCATTGTTGGAAACTCAAAGGAGAGAAAGTGACAGCTGGAGATGGTGCAAATTAGATTCGCTTCGGAATCACTGAGTGACGTATAATGCACCGGGACTTTGTGCAGGTGATTCTGCACTGCAGGTTGCATATGTGCACCAAGAGTCCTTGTGGTCTTATGTAATTTTCACGCTCCACTCTGTCTCTCAAAGAAAGAGGAAGTTTCTGCTCTTCTCTCAGAGAACGATATTTTTTTCCTTCCTCTATGCGTTGCAAACGGCTATGCAAAAGTTCTTTCATTTCTCGTCTTTAATTTTGCTAGGAGAAATTCTTAATCTAATTTCATATCGCGCAAAGTCGCTCCCGTGAGGAAGAATTGTATAAAACGCACGAAGCAAAGTTATGTGGAACTGAGATAGAAAGTGTGCCCTTTGTTCTTTTTCAATTAATATTAATAAAGTTCAATATGATTTAATTAGATTAAATTTTTAATTAAAAGATGCTCGACTCTATTTTCATGATTTTCAGGATGCGCTCAAACCTTTGAGATCTTTCCACTCAATAACGTGAAGTATTATTTCGACGCAATCTTCAGTGCAGAAAAGAGTAATTTCGTGTTGGTTAGGATGAGAAGGGTTGTTTAATGGAGCGCAAAATACGAAGCGAAAATGTTATGAAGGGAGGAAGCGACGTGCATAACAGTGCGGTGTGATTTAGCTTTAAACGATTTCGCAGTTTGTTGGGTTTTCTCAACGCCAAAGAAAACGTTCTTCACGCCTCGCCAATAAATTATGGCTGCACCCGGCGGGAATCGAATTTAATCCGCTCGGCAAATAAGCCGTGCTGAACATTATTTCTCGTCCTTTCCACGACACCCACCTGAAACTTTCCTGTCGTTTGGCTTTGTTATTAAATTTGTGATAAAAGCGTGATTTTTTTCCCTTTAGTATAAAAAATAACGTGCAAAACTTGGCTCAAGCATTAACAGCAGACGCCAAATAATTGCTGTTGCGAACAATTTGGAACTGTCGTTGAGCAGATATTTATTTATTAACGAAGTTTTGAAACATTTTTACAGCTGCTATTTTCACTCTTCTTTGGAAAAAAAATGCTTTACACTTTATGGATGCAGCGATATTGTTGGTTATTTTCAGTATTTTACTTGATACGATTTCAACAGCCTTGAACTTTACCAAGATAAAATCGCTAATTTTCCCCCTTTGATACATATAAAGAGCAACAATAAAAATGTGCTTTGTGATGTTTTACTACCGTCGCCTGACAAAAGAAGTTATCTGGCTGTTGTGGGCTGGATTGCGTTTCTTTCATCTGGCTTGTGTCACGCAAAGAGATTCGCACAATGCTATACTTATCTCCATTGGTGGTCGGCGTCGACCGTAGAGATCGCTTCCATTACATTTTATAGTTATGCCACCTGCTCGACGTTTGTGTCGCGCGTGGTGCATAATTTTATCGAGCAGTTCTCAGTTGAAATCGGAGGGACGTGACCGGAAATTCGATTGCCATTTCAAAAGCGCACCGTAAGATATAGAATTTCTGAAGTCACGTAATTTCAAACTGCATTAAACGTTATTAATAAGGTGCTAAAAATGGAAATGTATTATTAAAGTCCCACGCTGCACTTAATTCCATAAAAGACCGCCATTTCCTCGCGATACCCTACCCCATAAAGTTTGAAAGAGGAATTTTACGGCAGACTTAAAAGGATCTGAATATCAAAAGATATCACTCTCTTTTACTTATTTCATAAAAGTTGCTCGCCTCATGAGCTCTCAAAGACTTCATATTAAAACCGCCAACTATTTTTTGCGCCGAAAATTCTGACGAGAGACTTATTATGCCCGCAGGTGCCCTCAGTCTAGAAAATGTCGGCCATGATCGTCGACTACGATAACATCACGTACGACGAGAACTCGACGTCCAACTGCACCAACGAGTACTGCATGTCGGACGACGATTACATCGCCCTCATGGAGATCTACATCTTCCCGACACCGGCCGAGTGGCTGCTGATCGCCTTCCACGGCCTCATCTTCATCGCCGGCCTCATCGGCAACGCGCTCGTGTGCGCTGCCGTGGTCCGCAACCCGCAAATGCGAACCGTGACCAACTATTTCATCGTCAACCTGGCCGTCGCCGACTTCATGGTGCTCGTTTTCTGTCTGCCGCCGTCCGTTGTCTGGGACGTTACGGAAACTTGGTTCCTTGGGGAGACACTGTGCAAGGGCGTCCTCTACACGCAGGTAGGAAATAATGTCACATTTTTTGTCAGGAAATTTATTTATAGCTCCCCAGATAGTTTACAAAGAGAAATATGCTTTCAACAAGCAATGTTAGAAAGGAAAAAAATTATTAAATAATTCATAGTTTCAAATTTAAACAAATTAACTGTGAAAAATTTTCAAATATTGAATGGGAAAATAGTATTTAAAATGATGACTTGATGGAAAAATATTAAGATAAATTTTATTGAAAAAAATTTTATGTCCTATCAGTTACATTTTTTAGTATTCTTTTGCAGATTTATTGGAATTCACATTTTTATTATGTGGTGCACCGTGCACCGCACAAATAGGGCTTTTTATCCTCGCCAATACTCAATAAATCATCATTTGAACTGACCGCAAACCGATTCGATAGCCAAGATAATCCCCTGGCGTGATTGATCACGATGTAATGCAGTGTGTCGAATGTGCAGCTCACAATAACCCTGCCTGCTCGTATTTCTTGTTAATTAATATTTCGCGTATCTGATACGCGGAGCATGATTACGCAAAAGCCGCCATTTTAATTAATAATTCCCCTGCCCGTGAATGAAATTACAAACTCGCGGCATTCATACTCGGCGTGTGCATTCATCAAACACGGCCGCATTTTTCAAAGGAGCGCTCCAGAAAACCCAGCCGAGCGTTAATTACGGCTATTGTTGCAAACAAGCGCTTTGTGGGGCGGCACACAATTATTTATTACACCGGCGGGCTGCAAGGGTGGAATTAACTATTCATCACTTATTTGTGTGTTCGTGGTTCGTATTAATAACGCTCTCACTGCGGCTCTCGTACAATTCTCGGGCTAATTCGCTTTTGGAGCGCGTGCCTTTTTATGCTCGCGCAGGGGTGGAATCTTTCCAAACCGCTTAAAAGTCGCGAGCTCGGAATCACCGACGACCCCCACGAGCGCTGACAACGCAAAACGTGAGTGGGAATTTTGGGAGAAATCGTTGAAATGTCTGTGGCGAAAATAATCGGAATGCTGGATGAAAATTTCCTTCTTACCCTAAAAGTTTTCTCATTTAAATTATATCTTCTCCCGAAAAGTTAACATTTTTTTTTTTTTAATATATCAGCTTTTTTAAATGGAATTGGGAAGTGACTTGACGTGTCGAAATCAAATTGCACTTAATAACTCAAAAGCAACATTCTTGGAACTCGATCAAAATGCCTGGTGCAGACGATGGAAGTATTGACAGGGCCTCACATCCAATTTAATTTCGCTAGAAGCATATCTATCATGCAACATATATATATTTGAATTCCCAAGCCCCAGGAAATTGCCTCTCTCTCGCCGAAAATAAATTTGAGCCTATATTTGCCTCACGTCAAAGTGACAGGCTTCCTCTCTGGTCAATGTGGACGTTTTAAAAGTTGAGAGAGCGCCGGATCCGTTTCTCTCTCTCACAGCAACTTGCCCACGCAAATCCTGTTTATTTATAAAGGATTGTGGTCGGCGGAGCAAGATGATCGCGTTAGGTGTGTGGGAAATAATCCTGTTTTGCTAGAATTTAAAGCGAAGATCAGCTCACAGTGCCCAAGGCACTTACCAAAGTGGTTCGAGTGCAATGCGCCAGATGGAAATAGACCGTTTGCGTCAGAGACGTGATAAGGCGTTCTCTCGATCCACCGCGAACTAAATGCTTAAGCCTCTTTTCCAGCTTGATCATGAAAAGTGAAAATTTGCATAACTTTGAAAAGGTCAAAATTAGATACATTCTAGTAAAACGAAATGTAAGCAATTATTTAGACGATTTGAGTCTAAAAATTATATAACAAAAAGTTTTTTTTTTGCAAAACTTGTTTATTTCATTAATAATGTCAACCAACATCGACAATTATTCCACGTCAAGAGTCTTCATTTACTCCATGAAAATAGTACGTTGTCAATTTTTTATTAGTAACCTTTTAAAGATTCAATTTATTCAAAAGGTTTTGATCATTTTCGTTAAAATTTATCAGATACTTCCAAAAAAAATTCCAAGCCCCAACAAAATTTTTAATATTAAAAAGAAATAGTTTTTTAGATATTTATTTCCAGTTTTAAATTGCCTTGAAAATATATTCTTTCGTTAAAATTTACAAATATTTCTTCCAGAAAGGTTCTGTGTGCAATCGAAACAAATCTGTTTAGCACAATGCACAAAATCCAATTGCCACGCGAACCAAATGCTTGACTGAAAATTGACAGCAATTGCCTAAATTATTAGAAGTCACGCTTTTAGCGGTTTGCCACAAAATTTGTAGTCCTTCGCCTGGATACTCGTTTGCCATTAAAAAAACAGAGCTAGTGCGCATTTCGGCCGCGAAACTTGGTCCTTGCAACGCATCTAATATTCATCGTCGTAAAGAGCGAGCCGGCCTTCTGCGTTTAAAGTGAATCGAATGGGGCCGCTCTTTATCTGTATTTATGGCGGACAAGACTACGACACAAAGACGAGGTACTAAAACCACACCCGGGGTTGCGTCCTGCCCATAAAACTCTCTGCGGGACTATAAACCCCGTTGAAGCAGGTGGGTCGCTATATTTAACCCCAGAAACTGTAACTTACGGTTGGCCAGCTCACCAAATCAAAAGATTAATGCGATTTAAACCTGTTGAGTTAAATTCCAATCAACAAAATTACTGCAGCTTTTGTCTTTAAGCTGGAGATTACAAGGATTTGAATTAGGACGTGCAGTGACCCTATCAAATCGCAAACAGCCCATTCCGCAGTCTGAAAATCATTCGATCACAGATGGATAAGTCAGGGCGCTTCTAATAATTTTCCATACCACCGCGCTTCACGATCTATTATTTGAGTGCGGCCGCAATTTGCCTCCCCCGTGTTCATTGCAATCAACAAAAATAAAATGGCAAAAATATAGGGTTGCAGCGGCTTTTTTTAATTAATTCGCCAGGCGCCGCCAGCACCGCTTAATTGTTTTCTGCGTTTGTGTTTGCATCCGCTCTAGTTGGTAATTTGCAGTCTGCGGCACGACCAACGAGAGCAAAAATGGCTCCATTTGTGCTCGTTTGTGAGCTGGTTGTTTTTTGCGAATGGGACAGAGAAACGCTAGAAATGCTGAAACAAAGCTAATTGTCTAGCTTTTGTTGCAGACTAAAAAAGATATGCATGACTAAAAAAATCGTCTAAAAATGAAGCGAAATATCTATTACAAAAGAACAATGTTTGTGACAAATTTAGCCTGCAGTTTAAATTTTGTGGGAAATCTTTTTCAAGTTTCAATAAACATTTTAACAATTTAATGTTTGTTGAAAGGTCAATGACGAGAATTTCGGACAAGTTTAAAGCTGAAACAAAATTCATTTACAAGATAGAATAAAATTTATTCATTTTCTTGGTCAATTAAATTTATTAATTATTAACTTTGAAATGTTTACGTAAAAGGTCCAACAGATGTGCCTGCGGGTGCGTCGAGTTCAATCCTCAAAGTTCATTCGGGCCAAGTAGGAAATGGAAAAGTAGGTGCTGCGTGAAATTGGTCTAAACTGGTTAAGCGCTACTCTCATTAAATTCATCGCGCCACACGAACTCCTGGGCTAATTTGTGGATTAGCACACTTGCTGCGAGATGCCGACCCAAGTGTTTGTTCTGCAACAGTCCCCGCGAGTCCTCGAGTTGGAGGACTCTTGAGAAATTTGCATTGTGCGGTTTTGTCAGCGGTTCAGGTATGAAAGGCGCGCGCGGCTATTCCCATTTGTGCAGCCGCTGGATATATCATCGCTTTGCTAGAAGATCCGACCGGTGCAATCTGGCGAGCTTGAATAATTCATTATATCCTACAGTTCGCTGTCTCGCGAAAGTTTCTTCTCATTAGCATTGGAGACTCTTTACCTGCTTAATTAAGCATGATATTTTATGTGGCAAGAAAGTTTCAACAAAGGGTTCAGTTTGACTTTCTTTATTAATGTTGACTGAAAGCTCCAATTTTTGTTTCATAAAATTTTGCAAAATTAAACAAAAAAAATCTTTAAAATCGACTTTAAACAACAAATTTGGAATGAAAATCCAAAATTTTTATTTAGAACAGTAATCTAAATTTTGAAATATTTTTACTTATCTGAAATTTTTTACTGACGATTAATATATTCTTATTTCATGTTTTATTTTTCATCATTTTCATTTTTCCAGGTAAAGAATGTATTAACATTTATTAGCAGTTACAATAAAATACCATAATTCTTTTATAATAAAATATTTTGGTTTGCAAATAATAACAATTTTATTAATAATATCAAAGAATCTGCTCTGAGACACTCTTGAATTGTTCACTTTTGACATTTTTATGATTAAACGCACCAAAACGTGAACTGATCAAAATATTATGAATGTGTTAATTAGAGTTGTACGTATTTTATAGTCTTTTCCTAATCAACTCACGTTAATTAGCAGTCGAAGCTCAGTTTTGATAAACAAATTTTACTAATTGTAAGCTAAATATTATTACAAACATTTGATGAAGCTTATCTTTGTAAACAACTCCTCGCTTTTGACTATAATATGTATTAAATTGCGATTCACAAGCAAAATTGGCTTGGAGCAAACTCCACATCGGCGGAGATCACCGCGTGACTTTGCTACGTTTTTGCAGCACACACGAGCAAGCATCAGGACAAATATTTGTTCGTTCCACGTTGACTTTAATGAACGTGCCAAACCCTTTTGCCTGGGACGCGACTTGAATTTCCATCTGTTGGTGTCAGCCGGGCAAATCTGTCCGCGCACATTGTCTTCCTTTCCGAGAAATTACAACACACCGTCGTCTTGAGCGCTAAATGCACATTAGCGAAGAGACTTTGAGCGTATTATTCGCGCATTAGTTAATTACGACATTAATTCAGTCGCGAGAGAGAAACGCCTTCGCTGGGATTAAATTTCGTCGGAAACAAACACGGCAGAAAAGAGAGGGGTTGCTTTTGCTGACAATCGCAGGCCGATGACATTTCGATTTGCGTGGGTGGATTTGAT